CAATGCCAGTAGACTATGCTAAATAAAATATGCTTTGACCCCACTGGGGTGAAATGTAGGAGGCCAAAAAAGAAAGAAAAAAATAGACAGATGATGTTTCAGATACCCCCCCCAAAAAAGCCGGTTGCAGCTCAACCACGTCTAAAAAGTTAGTTTGGTGTCTGTGGATTAAAACATTTAGAGAGAATAGGCGTACAACATCCAGGCCAGACGTATGCTCCATCCGTTCGCCTGCATGGCTGCAATAAATTAATAACAACCAAACAATGTGTCGCGGAGAGGCGGATTCAATTACTAAGTTTATTTACAGGGGAAATCTCATGAAGGCCATTGACCAACGTTAAGCAGCGCGGGATGAAACGATGACAAGAGCTCCGATAAGAATTTAATTCCATCTCATTTCAGACGATTTTATGAATCAAATTCTTGAACACTGGCAAGAGATTTAATGATCACATCTTTGCGAAATCTTATTTCAGAGCCGGTCGATGGCATTTCTCTGCGTTAATGTCGACTTAGAGGTTGGAGTAATTTAGTAATTGATTCCTTGCCTGGCTCTCGCCCGTGCCAAGGCCGCGTTTGAGGGTAATATGTTTCCTAATCTTATCCCCCGGAATAAGATTTTTATGTTAATCCACTGTCTGGTCACTTGGGAAGCAAAGATACAGGCTCAGAGGGGCCGGAGAGGCCAGGGGAGACGAGCCGTGCTCTGCAGGAGCTGGTTGCAGCATCAGGAAAACAATAATACGAGATAACAGGGAAATATCACACAGAGAAGAGCATGTAGTACATGAGAATAAAATATTTTATATTTTTCCTCGTGAATGAACTGTAAGTTAATCATTTTGTTTCCTATATAGGCTAAATAAAATGTTGTTATGGGCTATACATCTGCTTTCCCCTCTGCTTTGTTTTCATATTTGTGAGATGTTTGACGCCATGTTGTTATTTTAGAATTTAAAATAATCTGTAAAGATGCATAAAGTGTATGTCCTGAATAATAATATGGGCACAATGTGATCAGCTAGGTTTATCCTCCTCTACATCCCGAGGCGCACAACGCCCTCAGATGTGTGCCAGACAGAAGACCATCAGGTGAAAATATATCAAAAGACCTGTAATAACAAAAACATGAGCCTGCACGCAGCACACTGAAACACTAAAAGCTTTTGTGCTGCACGCTTTTTCCCGAAGACACCGAGAGAAGAAACCAGCTTCTAATTGAATTTCGCCTCTTCTCCAGATGTCACTTTCCATCTGTGCGCTTGGAAACGCGATGCGCTTTTTACGCATCGGCCTGGAACACCTTTAACTCAGATGTCTGATTTTTGTTCTCCCCTCTCTTGTATTAACACGTGTGTAGGTTCAGACCTTAATCAAGACAACTTAGAGAAATAACTAAATATAAAAACGGATTATTATGTTTTACAGAATATTTATTTATAAAATTATTTTGGATAATAATTGAATTTTAATTGTGGAAGTAGAACAGCCACTTTTACCCCTGATAGTTCTATCTTAATAGTTTTCACGCATTTTGCAGATGAAAGCGCGACCCTCGCTTTTATCCATCCTGTCAAATTGAGACATCAGACTAAATTGCCAGGAGAGCATCCCCAAAATGAATTTTTTATCTGCTCTCGAGCCCCTCCTCTGCAACTCACGGCCTTATTAATAACCGTTTTGATAAGCGTAGGATTTCCTCGGGCGGATGAGTGAGACGTTGTAGGTGAAATGTGACAGCGGGACCCTCCCATCGCGCTCTCTCTCTTTATCCTCCTCTGTTTCTTTGCCTTTTCGGGGGAGTGGATCCATCCAATCCATCCAGAGACAATGGCATTTTGTTCCTCTTTTTGTCCCTCCTGTCGACCCACATTCCTATATTGCTGAGCAACGATAGTGCGCACTAAATGGAGAGGAGTTCCTCCCATATCCCGGCTATTGTCCGGCACTTGCCAGGGGAATTTAGGGTTTCGCACACATCGCATTTTCCTGATTTATTTAAGTGAAGGCATATGGTTGAAGCCCTTTATTAGGCACATAATTACGAATTAACTGCCGCTTTACTTGAATGAAATGATTATTATGTTACTTTAAATCACGGTTTGCACTGTTTGGAAACGACACGCAACCTGCAGCCACAAGCCTCCCCACCCCACCCCACCCCTCACCGTGCAGGACATAAACTGTTTGCACATTTTGCATCTTGCAAAAGCTAATATATATATATTAACTCAGACTCCCGCCTTTCGGGTTTAACACGCTCACGTCAAAATATCAAACTGCGGCTTCTCATCCCACTTGAACCAGCTGAAAGAATTAAAAGATGTTGAAACTATAAAAGAGAGGCGTTTCAATAGCTGGTGGACTATGGCGGAGGGACTATAGACCGCAAGAATAAAGAGCGGCTTCAGTGAAAGAAACCGATGGCTAAAAGCTATAATTGTATTTGCCTCGGCGAAATATCAGAAAAGACTTCTCGTTTCTTTGAGCGTTATTAGATTAATTCCCAGAGATGGTTTCTTTTCTCGCTGCCAGACGCGTGGAGGGAGGACGGTGAACCATTTGGCTCTTTGGTTTCAATAATCAAATTAACCATTTGGAACAACTTTTGGGTCCCAGCTCGTGTGTAGAAAAGGGGAAATAAAAAAAGAAAACATTTACATAATAGAGACCGGGTTGTGTCAAGAAAGAATGAACTTTTTTGTTGTTCTCGTTGAAAAGACAATGTACACACGGAAGAAAAGCAAGAAACACACTGCAACACGTCAGCAATTGTGGAGAAAATTAATTGATGGCAAATCCAAGCTACACCACCTGACAAGATGTTCAATGTATCAAGGCGTTTGGTGCCATTATGCAAGCTTAAAATCTCATTCTCTCTTTTTCAAAAAAACAACAACAAAAAAAACAGTTAATATTTCATCAAACGACAGCTTAAAAAAAATGAATGCGGTGCCAATGTGGAAAGACACAGTTTCTAACTGTATTTAAAATGTATTTGAAAAAGAAGATCTTAAACTGACGTAAAAAGATGGTTTGCATTGGAATTACCTCACCTCAAATTCAATTTTAGACCTCAGACGCTGATCTGTATGTGTTTTAGAAGACCTCTTATTTTTATCTTTAATGTCTCCCTGTAGTCCCGATTTCAACAAGTAAAGGTTTATTTCATATTTTTCCAGCCTTCGTTAATTGTGATGAAAAATAAGATCAATATTGTGAGGGATAAAATCAAATCATAAGAAAAAAAAAACAAAGCCAAGATCTATAATAATCTTATAATAAAATTTAATAGGTTGTGCAACAAAAGCTTATAATATCCAGTGTCTAAAATGATTCTACAGACACGCATGATGAAAATACTGATATAAACTCACAATTGAGCATCAGAGACACACTCACTCCCTATAGGATTATTAAAGGGATATTATAGTGATTTTTCAGCGTAGGGTCTCACAGATCAATCACTGAAACACGACCATTGCTGGATAAATTCAAACACTCATCTGCTAAATTTAATTGATGCAGCAGAATTCCTGTTGCGCTTGTTTGTGTTTCGATAATTTGGAAGAGAAAAAAATCCACAGCTTCAAACGAGGACTTGAACTCGGTCCAATGAACACACCGAGTTTGTAAGCGCCAAGGAAAACGGTTCACCTTATTACACAAACCAAATTAACCACTCAGCCAATATTGTGAGCCTAAGAGGTCCGATGACTGCTTCGCCAGTTCGTTACTTTCATTAGAAAGATGTTATTTGCCAAATAAACGAAATAATGAATGTAATAAAGACAATTACAAACTCATTTGAATCATAAAAACACACCCGGAAGTTTAGCAGAGATTACACTGCAGCAAGTCAACCGACAGAACTGCAACAAAAAGTTGTTTATTGGGCAAAAAGGGAATTATTAAACCGAAGCTGCAAATTCGTTTATTAGGCTACTGTGCGTAAATTGCAATTTGTTGGGTTTTTAATCCTTAGAGACAATTTCTAACTTTCATTTATTTACTTCAATGTTAGCTGCTGCACAGTCATGAGCCAGAAATGGCCAAGACGTGATTTAAAAGTCTAAATTACCAATTAAAAACAATAAAACATTTTATAACCCGTGAAGTGTAACGTAAAATAAAACACAAAGAAAAACAACAAGAAATCAAACCAAGGAGGTATTCGGTAGCCTATAGCACTGGCGTTATGGATGTGATTGCTGTGCTTACACTGTTTTCACCTGAACAAACCTCTCAAACAGAGTGTAGCCATATCCAGTGTAAAAATTGTATTTTTCTTTAAAAATAAAAAGGAAAACCAGCCAGTGGTAAGATACTTTGCTTGTTTCAGTAGTTTTCATGTAACAGTGTCCTGAAACAAAGCAGAATAATATGGGCTATACACGTTGCAAAAAACATTATTAAAACCAGTTGCACTTGAAAAAAAGAGACCTCACTTCCAAAAGGGAACGACTAAATTGACCGTTATACCTGATAGAAATGTTCATGTTTTGCCTGCTTCATTGCAGAAGACCAGAGTCAAAACCAGAGTGAAAACAGTCGGAGCAGACCGGCAAAAAGAAGAGGCAGAAGGGGAATACTATGTGAAATCCTGCCCAAGGTATACGGCCGCTTAAAAGGCTTAAAAGCTTGGAGAAAATTGGATCAGGGAGAATCGTCACCCAACTTTCATTATTTCCAAGTGGTGTGATTGAATTAAAGGGCAAGATGGTGGTTGGAGAGGAATGGGGTGGATGGGTAGAGGGGTGGAGGGGGGCGGCGGTGGTGGTGGAGGGGTGCGTAATGGCGTGGTATTAAATTCTAATTAGAGATGCAGGGGATCAATGATAGGGAGGTTGGACAGCCCGGGCCCCCAGTGCCAGCCCAATAGACTGATGAGTTATTGTCATGTAAAAAAGCGCTAGCAATAAGACCAAACGCTTTGCTATTGTCCAAGCGGAAAGAGCCAAGTTTATTATGAGGACTATATGCTCTAGAGACCTCAGGCTAGGCGGCTCTTAGGGGGCTTTTCATAAAACAGGGCTAGGTTCCTATAAAGGAGGCCAGTTTTGGAGCAGGCGCTGAGCAGTGAACATCTACCCACCGTCCAGCCTCTTTCCAACCAGTTCAAACTAAACAAGCCATCTTTCCCCCCCAACTCAGACCGCGCGTCCTTCTCATTTTTGCTTTTATTATTTTTTTTTTTACTTTCTAACCCACTTTTGGGTCGTTTTGGTTTGACTTTTTTCCCGGGAAGTGCAGCTTTCTAACTCCACCGAGCCTTCTCAAATGTATAAAATGGAGTATTCTTACCTAAATTCCTCTGCCTACGAGTCATGTATGGCCGGGATGGACACGTCGAGCTTGGCATCGGCCTATGCGGACTTCAGTTCGTGCAGTCAAGCCAGTGGGTTTCAGTACAATCCCATCAGGACCACTTTCGGGGCCACCTCCGGCTGTCCTTCCCTCACGCCGGGGTCCTGCAGCCTGGGGACCCTGCGGGACCACCAGAGCAGCCCCTACGCCGCAGGTAAGCAGCGGCTCCGGAGCCTCAACCCGGTGTATTATAGGACGTCTTGATTGCATTTGAAAATGGAAATGTGTTTAGTATTTACCAAACGAAATTTGCTTACACAAATGAAAGAATTTATCACGTTAGAAGCGATTGCAGGCAAGCGGTAATTCGGTTAAGGGGTTATACTATCCCAGTCACACCCAAAACCGCCAACAGAATTATCTTAAGCTGCCAAAATGATAGGCATAATTTATTTACTTTGCGATGAGACATAAAGCTTCGAAAATAATTAGATAACCAAAGACTAAAGCTCATTATTGACACTGAATTGGAGTTACAGTAGCAACAAGCAGGGCGGATGGGAACATTATGACAAGTTTTCAAACTTGAATCTCAATCTGAGGAGCAACAATTAGTTTAACATTACAATTAACCGCATCACAGGTCAGCAACGTTATCAATTCTGAAGTAATTCACAGGTAATCAAATGTATAATACAATTGAAAGCTTTAGCCCTGCATCCTTAACCCGATTTTGTACAAAATATCGAATTTGAATTTACTTCCATTTGACAACATCTCAATTACACACACTCATATCTCCTACTGCACAGATAAGATCACTGCACGTCTCACGGTGACATTTTATTTCGTTTACAGTTCCCTACAAACTCTTCACGGATCACGGCGGACTGAACGAGAAGAGAAAACAGAGGCGCATCCGGACAACCTTCACCAGCGCCCAGCTGAAAGAGCTGGAGCGGGTTTTTGCAGAAACGCACTACCCGGACATCTACACCAGAGAGGAGCTGGCACTCAAAATCGATCTGACTGAAGCCAGAGTGCAGGTACACAGCCACCGGCTCTACAACAGACCTGCTCCCATTACGCACGATTACCCATAATTACGCACGGGTGGATTTATGAAATATTTTATCACGTTGCGTCTAATCACTCATTTTAAAACACATTTTAGTGAAATTTAAGCTTTACTGCTTTAATATCATGAACTACTGGCCTACACCAGCTGACACCATCTAACACTCTTATGCATTAATGCGCAAAACAAAGAGATACTGTTTGTCTTTAGGGGCAATTTTAGACATTTAAACCTCAAAACGCATTTATAAGCAACCTCAACCATGCTAAAGAGCCTTCTTGGTCAAGACAGCTAATTGCATATTGAGATCGAATATCAATAGTGTTAGATAAGCAGTTTTTTTCTTTTGGCACAAACCAAACATTAGTGATGGTTTAACATTTGTACTTACACCCATTTTCCAGGTGTGGTTCCAAAACCGGCGCGCCAAGTTCCGCAAGCAGGAGCGGGCAGCTGCAGCGGCCGCAGCGGCTGCCAAGTCCAGTTCTGGAAAGAAGTCAGACTCCAGAGATGAAGACAGCAAAGACACCAAATCTACCGACCCCGACAGCACAGGAGGACCGGGCCCGAACCCCGTGCCCACCTCCAATTGCGGCGGACCCAGTCCGACCGGAGGCCAGGTCAACACCACCGGGAACGGACAGGTAGACCAAGTGAAGACATCCGTGTCCACCGGCATGGGGGTGACAGCACCCAGCCAAGGATGGGCCACCGCCCCGGGAACCATCACCTCTATCCCGGACTCATTGGGCGGGCCATTCGCCAGCGTACTGTCGTCTTTGCAAAGACAGAACGGAGCCAAAGCTACATTAGTAAAGACCAGCATGTTCTAATGAAGCTTCACAGCGGGGGAAGAAACACAGAGCAGAGTTTCCTCATCCTCCGGAGACTGACAAGCAATTGCCTGAGACAGACTCACGGACAATAAAAAGCAGTTAAAAAGAAGATAACAACTCTGTTATTTTATTTTTATGCCTTGCGCCGTTCTTGTGGTCAGTGGACCCTTTTGCTGTAAAAATATCCATCTTGACAAATTACATTGTCTTATAATAACTTTTTTTTTCTTAAAACAAGTGCAAGTTGGGTGACATGTTTCAAAGGCGTTTTACTGTACTAATAACAAAATGACACTGAAAATACCGCGCAGAACAAGAAACCATACCGCCTCTTGTTTTAAGAAAAAATGACACATTTAAGACTGAATACTGGACGACGTGGCTTGTTGAGATGAACATTTTCATGAGATGGGCCAAATTTATGAGCATACACAGACGTCTGCGCACTGGAAACGCGACGTGCCATCAGTGAGCAAAGGAGTCTTGTTAAGTCACATTATATGTCAGAGTTCAACAGCTGCTTTGTTTGGTAGAGAGACGTTTAATATCCTTGACCGAGGATGCTCCCTCACAAATCCACGGTCTGACACAACAATTACCCAACGAGACGCTGACGCATTTTGCTACTCTGTTCTCTATACACACAATCTGCTGTTCGGAAGTAGCCTCTTGCAGCTGTGTTTTTGTTTCCAGGGCTGCTGAGAGTTTAGTTTCTTTAAATTATCGATATAAACACAATTATTTCCTCGAGAGAAAAAAGGCACAAACTACTGCAATGTTCACCTCTGACAGGAAATCTGTATGTTTTGTGTGTCTTTCTACGGCAGTGTTTTTGTGGCTCAAATTGTATAGTGTTAATACGTATTATTGTCTCCTATAGTTGAACCATAGGCCATATTCCCTCGTAGATCGATCATACAAGTCTTTTTGATGTTTTACAAAATTCCCTCGAAGAATTTATTTTGGGTAAAAAAAGGGAATGGATGCAAACATTGTATTTATTTCTATATAATTTGCATGTTGTCTTTGTCTGATTTTACAATGATTTCCCTTCCATTTTGTGAGCATTATGTAACTTGTTTTGTCCAGGATCTGAAAGTTATTTATATGTAGGTAATGAATGCTTATATTTAAGAAGGAAATATTTCTACATGTGCACATAGTTTTCCAGGTGTACCATTGAAATGGTTGTTGATGATAAAAAAAAATAATAGTCCAAGTTGCTTTGTCATGTTTTCTTTAGAGAAATAATGAAATGCAGCTCAGTTATTAGTTATGTTTTTTATTTATCATTACTCATTTCTATCTTCATTATTTTTTATATTATCCTAAAACAGGTGTCCTATGATTGCTCAGTCATAAATGCAAAATGTTTTTACCAAAGGTCAGAGATTTCAGCACCAAGGACAGCACTGAAGAGGTGCAATTCATTGAGTCTCCAGATTAATTTTTCTTTAAAAGAAAGGAAAAATATTTGCCTTTATAGTAACATAATCTAACCCAATTTCAATGCAAATGTCCAGAATCAAGTGTGGGTCTTCTGATATTCTACAGACTTTGAAAAAGCTTCAGTGGTGCAAAGAATACTATACAGGAGAAGAGATTGAAAACATTTTTTTCCAAGATTGAAACAAAAAGCATTATGTCAGGATCAACTACAAGGGGAAAAAAAGACTGGTTGTTGTACTAAATAATGACCAAACATTGACAGGTAAGGTCTTACTGCTCTACACACAGATCCATACTAATACAGGCCACTGTATTTTGTCCTTTTCTGGTGTCACAATGTTTGGTGATAACAGCCATCAGATTTTATGACCCTATCTGAAGACATATAGGCTCACAGTTTTAAATAAACCGTTACCAGAACTTGTCACCCAGTGAAAATATTATGGATTCATCTTTTTGGACAGGTCATTGAATCATCAGGTCATAGAATTTGGTGTAACACCTGTTCAGGTGCCTTAATATGAACCCAACACTAGCTTAACTCCAAACAGTAATTTCTACAAAGTCTATAATCTGACTTTAACCCAAATTAAACAATGAATCTCACATTATTGGCAGAATTGAAGACTCCTTTCAACTCTGTGATAATGGACTTTATTCTTAATTGTGTCTGTTCTTTAGCCTTATTTTAGAATTATTGTCTGTTTATCGTATTTTTAAAACAATCTGTAGTGTGATTTGTTGTTTCTTGCAGCTGTTTATATTCTGCTGTTTTTGTCAGGTCTCTCTCAAAGAGGCTTACCAGGTTAATAAAGGTTCAAAAATAAAATAAATAGAAAAGCCACCAGTGCAGCACTACACTATTTGAGGTGGAAACAGATTTCAACGAAACACAGGTTTCCAAAAGGACTCGACTTTCAGTATGCTCTTTTACACATTTAAGATTTCACCTGCAGTATCAAATGTTTACGGTATTTATTTACCACATTTCTTCCTTTAGTTAAAATCTTTTCACTTGTATTTGGGATTATTGCAAAAATAAGAGACAAAAGCCCAGTTTTAATTTATAACATTTTATTTATAAACATACAGTATGATATAAATGCCATTGCATTTAAACATCAAATTAATCTATATTTCGGATAGTGTTCATGTGAATATTACAATAAATACAGAACAGACGAAAAGGTTTCATTCCCCAACTATCCTGTTAAGAAGACTGTCTGAATATAGAGCTCCTTCTCAAAGATCCCACTATTAGAGACTCAGCCGAGATTTATTCATTAACTACGTTGGGATAAAAAATGAAATACACAATCAGAACAGAAGCTTAAAAATACTGTAGATCAGTGAGATGAACCTGGAAGAGAAGCTTGGCTATAGGACGCAGTTCAGGAGGAGGAGGCTGCTAGTTTGCTTTCATACAGCAAATCATTTGGTTTTAGGCTTAAACGTGCATTTTTTATATCCACAATACATTACCGAGCTCTTCTCATACAAGTGCAAAAAAGAAAGAAAGAAGCAAGTGACTAAAAATGTCCAGCTGGCGGCACAGATCTTTAGTTTTCATCCAACCAAATATTGCACAGATGCAACTGCTGCTGGTATGTGTGTTCATATTATCTCTGCTGTTTAACTAGCTGTAACATGTACTGGTGATTTTTGTGTTTTTATATTTATTTTATTTTATAAATGAATCCTACCACTGAGCAATTATCAAAACCTCAATTAATAGCATACAGAAGTCTATATCGCTCTAGAATAAAACATTCAAAATTAAATCAATGGTTTCCCCATTTCCCCTGCAGTATATATGCTGTATTTTTCCAAACAGTAAACAAATGTATTCCTCTGTTTTTTTATCACTGCAAATCACTGAGGAATCACATGGGGGAATATGAAATTAAGGGTGTTGTTTATGTAAAATAAACAGTACTTCAACTGAAGTGAAGTGTGATTTGAGGGAGGGCTGCAGCCTGTCTGTCTGCAGTATAAGGGTTCAAATTTGGCCAAACTCCCTCCCTACACCCCAAAACAAAACAAAAAAAGAGAACTTAAACACCATATAGCTGGTGTTTATTTTCCTGCATCACCTTGCTTTCCTAAGGCACATTGAAGTCCTGACTTTCCAAGCGGACAGGCTGGCCGAGGAGCAACCTGCTGTGACTCAAACGCACACAAACAGCTCACATGTCGTGTTATTGCCCTAATGATGAAACTACATCTATAATATGTGTTTATATTATAAGCTAATATTATTCAGGAGAACAGAAGAAGAGACATAGTACAGGCCAAATGATAAAAAAAAAACTGATTTACTGTATATATAGTGTCTGTGGATCTAAATAGTTTATAATGACTTTTATAGCAATATCTAAATGATGTTTATCTTTTGTTTTTATCTAGTACTTCATTAAAGGGGCATAAAATTATTAATGCTTTTCAGATCCAGCCTGTTAAGAGAAATTACAAAATCCAATCTGAGCTGCCGACCACATATTCAGTTTTCTCTCCAGTTTTTGCATTGTATCACTCCAAATTAAGAAAACCTTTCTTAAATGATAAAAAAAAAGATTCATTAACTATGTAATATACTGCATTTCCATTATATGGAATTTAATGGTAAATATTCACATTTTTTCCAACCAGTTTGAAGCGTCTGTAAATGTTATTGTGTTTTCTTTTCAACATGGCCGCCACCCCAGAACAGTCTCTCTTGCTGCATGATGAAACAGAGTCTGTGGTGGTACGTGAACCAATCAAATCCAGATTTCACCCACATATCAAATGACATACACATGAAGAATATATATATATATATATATATATATTTTAAATGTTTGACTGTCCCCCAGATCCCTGTTTGGCCCCCATGATGAATCTTCATTTGTTATTGAACGGCAGCGGATGCAAAGATCCCGACACACTGTGAAGGACATGATTTGCAGATAACTGGGTTAAAACAGGGACGGGGTTTCTTCCATGAACCTTGTGCTTTTCTGTTGAGCATCACAACGTGGTTGGCTGTCCAGCCGCTTGAAAAGAGAAAGAAAGAGAAAGAAGCCCACAATTTTTATTAACCACAATTGTTTTGTTGTTCTTTTTTAAGGGATTTTAAGGTCAAGGACATGCGGATCTAATGTAATAAAACCTCCTAATTCAGCATAATGACTTACAACTCTGTCGATTGAGGCCCTGATTTGATTTGTGGTTTTCTGATCACTAAATGATAACAGCTGCTGAGAGGTTATGTAAATGTGAGCTGTGTGTTTTAGAAAACTTGAACTTTTGCTCTTCTGCAGGTAAGGTGAAAGGGATGGAAAGTAACTGTCATCCACTCCCAGCTACTACATCACCCTTTTCTCTTCCTCCCAGCACCTTCCTCCTGATGCAGCTTCATCCCTCCATTTAGTCAAGCCTCACTGTGTCTGACATTTCTTTATTAAAGCTGCACTGGGTAGGATTTTTCTATTAAAATACACCCGTCTTATTAGCCACACAGCGGGACTGCAATAAAGTACGGAACCTTTGAAATACACCTTAAATGTTTATCATAAAATAGTGTCAAGTTAACTTTGAAAAAACAATAAATCAAACAAAGCTTTGTCTTTTTTTCTACCTGGTTTATGAGCACCTTATTTACTGCTGGTGCTACGACACCATCACCTTATTGAAAACTGCATTTATTCATCAGTGAATATATGATATATGGCCAATATTAGCAAACAATAAAGTATAACAACACCTTACCCGTTTTATAATTTTAAAAGTTTTTTTTTAATATTCATGATGGTGGTTTATTTGCTTGGAACCTGACCATATTCATAATTCATTCATGTTTTGGATAGATGGATAGAAACAGTGCTAAAGAGACACAAGACAGAAAGAAATGGGGGTGAGACCAAAAAGAGAGAGATGGAAGGAAGACATGGGAGAGAGGGGTGGAGGGACTTACAGCGGGAGCGGATGTAGCACTGGTGGCAGTTGAGGAGGCCATTTCTGATCCGGACGTCTGTCCCCGTGGTCGTGTCGCCTAACTGTCCCTTACACACCCCACACTAAAGCGAGGGAGAGAGAGAAATAGTTATTAATAATAATTATTCATTATTAGTTGTTATTACAGAAGAGTCTTAAAGGATTAGGCTACTGTTATTATATACCTTTTTTGACTTTATTACAACAGAACTAAGGAGCTCTACCAAGTATTTCTGGCAGCATGATGTTGTGTGTGATGTGGGGTTGACTCACAATAAAGCCCATATTAATAATAAGGGAACATGTCATCCAGTGCAATGGTGTGGCTCACACCACTCCACCACTGTAAAAGCTTTTCAACAACAAAGGAGCTCTATGGTGCAGACGAATAAGATATACCAGGCTTTAAATACACTGACAATACTTGTTAGTAGGATCAGTTCATTGTTCGTTTTGTCTTTTCATGGAATTTCTCAATAATAATAATAATAATAAATACAAATTATGCATACTTCTTTAATAGATAATCAAATCAATAAAAAACTAAATAAAACAGGACGATACTAAGTTTTGACATAAAAAGTCCTTTTGAGAAGACAAGGGCTTTCTTCTTTCTGTCACCGACCTTAAAGCATTGAATGTGGAAGTAGAGACTGAGGGTCTCTATGATCATGGCCGCCCCCTTTCCTAACGGCTGCCCACAGCTGGAGCACAGCTTCTTCCCGCTGACAGACCTAAAGGAGAGAGAAAGACAGAACCTATGATACTAGAAAGGACTGTAAATGATTTAAAGTACTGATTACTTGTCTAAACCAGTTAAGCTCTTTTGAATATTGAAAGAGAAACACAGCGTTAATAAGCTGTTCCTCTGTCTGTGTATTGTCGTACTGGAATACTTAAGACAGGAAGAGAAATAACAAACCTAAACCCAGAAACTCCGATCTAAAGGACAGATAGCATCCTCTGCATTTCCACTATCACTGAAGTGGACTGCAGTGTACAAAAATAGATGAGTTACATTTATTTACTTCTGCAGCTCTCTGCTATTTTTTCTGTTAGCTTGTTGGTCTATGTCTTTGCTGTTTTAGTTCTTGTGTTCAGTGATGTCCATCAGGTCCTATGTGCTTGTTCTCTGCACAGCTGATGCAGTCATGTGTCGTCCCATCACTCATATTCTACACGTCCTCTCGGTTCTTCAGTGTGCTATTTTTTAATTTCTAGACAACTCCGGCCCATTTGCAGTAACGTTTACGGATGTACATTTCAATGTAAAATAAAGAAATAGATTAATAAAAAGTCTTCTTTCCATGTAGTGTGTGGAAATTCCCACTGCATTCAAGGGTCCTTGCTGCAGTGGTACGTGTTATGAGATGGGTAGAGAAATGTAGGCAGCAAAGCAGAAAATGACAGTGCAGAAATGAACCCGTCCCTCCATGAAGGCTGTTTGTGATGCAGTACCTGTTGGGTGCTGGAGGCAGTGTGTCTGGAGGTGGTGGACATGCTGTGGGGGGGTTTGATGAGCTGCGGCCCACGTTATTATCAATTAGACCACTCCTGGAAATGGGACAGCAACATGCAACATGATGATGACTCCCAGCTACAGCAACTCTATTGGCTGCCAATGAACCAATCGAAGCCAGAACAAGCTGTGCCACCTACTCAAGCAATGTTTGGCCATTGTTTAAAATGCAGTGTTACTATAGTATAGAATTCTACTGCATTTCCATAACACTTTTCTTGTCTTAGACTATAGTTTCTTTATGTAGAGGATGACTATGGGGGGATTGCAGGTACAAGATGCCACCTGCTGGTCAAATGGTTTAACTCAAGGTGTTACTAAGACCCACGCTTAACAAAAGCCCTGCTGGTCACTATTCCGGACTTTTGAAATATGTATTTACAGCCAGGATGAAATGTGAGTGCTATCTATTTTGATTAACAATGAGAAGTGTTATGGTGCCTTGAAACGTAGAGGGATTTTACAGACAAGTCACACATGGAAATAAAACAATGCTTAGAATATTTTTTTTGGTGTGATAATAAGTACATACTGGTGCTGTGACCTGTGCTTGATTGTTTTTTATACCTCACACTGTCACGGTCTTCTGTATGATTGCTACAGTGTTCTCCTTACTTGTAATATATCAAGAGACAAACAGAAAAGTAAAACTGAACTCCTGTTAAAAAACACTTCCTTTCTCAGAATACCAAATCCAGGAATTGTAGCAGACCTTGAACTGAAGGCTTTTCTCACACACATTCACACACCTCCTGTCTCCTGCAGGCCGGCTGGGCTTGTTGCTGTCTGCTGTAGGCTCTTGTTTCTTCACTGGAGTCGAGGTTTTGGTCGGCATTAGGGGAGGTTTTTGGCCATTCTGCAGACTTTGACCGGGTGTCTCTGTCTGACTGCTGCTCTGACTCACCAAGCTGAGGATCAGGAACAAGCCACGTTGGGATCAATTGTTTTTGCTATTATACCCAACACATGTCACATTCTGTATTGTGCTTTTCATACTTTATTTACTTTACTTCACTGATCCTACTAAAATAGAGAGTATTTTCCCTTGATGGTACCCTGTCGAGAAAACAGAGCTGAGAGGCACATAAGGCCTCATTTTAAGCCACTGTTGCACTTCATGTCGGCTAAAGTGTAAACATTTACCACTATTATTACTATAGTTCACAAACCTTTTGCCTGTTTTCATGCTGTCATCAGCTGTGCTGATGTCACTGGTCCTGTCGTTTTCTCTCCGTTTCCATTCCACACTCTCTGTGCTGGCCCTCTGTGCCTTCCCATCACAAACAGGGAACAGTTAGCAGAACAACCACTTAAAAAACACTGTGCCCACTCAAGTTATTCCAATCAATTGTCACCCAGAGACTCCCCCTGAATTGATACGAAATGAATGCATGCGTCTAACAAGCTATCTATAATCAGTCAATCAGCCATTCACCGACTGCCTCTCCAGCAGTTCCTGCTTGCGTTCCCAGTCAGCCAGCGAACGAACGATGGTGTCCTGGGGCTCCGAAGTGGAGGAGAGCTCGCCTCGGCTGGGGGAGGGCAGGGCTGAGGAGCGGGGAGTCAGAGGCGTCACAGTTTCCTCCAGTATCCTACGCTCCTGTTGTGATGGGAGAGTTGGGTGAGTTATCAACAACACCTAACTCCTATCATGGGTTAAGATTATCAGTCAGCAAACACACTTTTCTTTTAGATATAAAAATACACAGTTCACACATATTGTACATTTAACTTTTGCTCTTATCCACATCCAAAATTACTCTGATTTCAGGTATTGTAAGTTAGCTACACTGAAAACAAAAGACACACACACAAAAAACACATCATAGGTGCAACAAGTGCCCTCAAGCATAAACACACCTCCTCGTGGTACTTCTTCTCCTCCTCTGCCACCTCCCTCTGCGCTTTCTCCCACTCTTCCTTCAGCTTCTCCTGCTCGCGCCGGTACTTCTCCTGTTACCATGGCAACAGACACATGACATACTGCACAGAGCCTCAAGCCTTGAAGAGGAAGACTAAACTGTCTGCAGGTGAATATTTTGGCAGAAAAACAGAGATGATGCGCAGACATATCTGGCATCAACAGGGCTCTGAGAGGTTTTCAAAAGGTCTAAATCAGTCGATGATAAAATTCTCTCCTAGTGCATCCTGCTTAAGTCAATCCAAGAAAGAACTGAGACCTGTAAATCCTGCTGTAAAAATTGGTGACTTTTTACAATTTCCATATAAGATGTCCTTAGTGTGTACTTCAAACATAAGCCTCAACTTAAAGACATTGCTATTCTTCTGCTATGGCTAAACACTTGCTCAGATCTGATATTTGTGTGTTAGGGAATAGCAAACAAAAGAGACCAGAAGCAGGCACTGCGGACAAAAGGCAAACGTAGAGCATGCAGAGTTTGTGGAGCACAGGGTTCCTACACAGTTTTCATTTTAAAATCTGCCTTAAATGAAGGTTTTTCCTTGATGTACAGTACTATAATAGTAAGTGGGCAAAGTGACCACAAAAAATATGAATCAAACTGACACTTATTATTTTAGACAAGCACAAACCTTATAAGACTAGTTTTCACTCTTTTCAGACTTGTGTTGGAACCCTAAAAAAAGGCCAAATTTAAAGATCCCAGATTTAGAGAGAAAGTAACTTAAGCAAGACAGATGACAGTCCAAGACTGAGGCGCAGAGACAACAGAGAATCAACAGGGGAGATAACAAGCACATTGATGTACCAGACATTCATCCATTTCATCTCATCTCAAACAGTCCTGCAACAACCGGAAAGCAGAAAAAACTGTTCTCATCACTGGTGCTGATCAATTTATCAGGATTACACTGTAGATGAGTACAGTATTTCACGGATACCAATGAATCCTTTAAATGTTTATTGGACCTGAGATGCACCTCTGATTGGTTGAGGAGAGAGAGGGTGATTTGGGCAGCAGCAATAGCAGCAACCTAGGACAAAGTCCTTGTCTGTGGTTGTGCATGAGATGAAGACAGTGAGTGGATAAAACCAAAGTAGAAGTTCTTCCACTGCACAACATCGCCCTCTAGTGGTCATAGTGTGCGTAGGAGTAGTTGCCTTTGGGGGAGGATATGCTCAATATAAAACAAACATGGAGGCAAGCTTTGCAAGTAGCAATGACATGGCATCCATCTGATTCTGAGCTGACTCACACAGCAGCTTACTGTGCTACAACATGGTTTGACTTCACTTTCAGGGTTTGGTAAACAGTAAAGTCTCCTATGTCAGGGCTAAACATCTGGGTTAAAACTGGGCTAAATATTTTTGAAAAGTGAAAGGGTTTAGGTTACATAGAACTCTTTTTCCCCCTTATTCTAAGCATCTAATTGACTACATGTCAACATCTAGTTAGGACCTGCTTCACAATGAAATATAGTAATTGAAATGCTGTTTAAACAACAGTTATAATAAACTAGATGTCTAAGCAAACTTAGCCCAGTTTTAAGTCAAGACATCTAGACTGTTCTCATCTTTTTCACCCAATTAATACTTGCTGAGATATAATGCCTGGCTTATGCTTGACTCATGCATATCTTATTTGTTAACTACTCATCTCAAAATGCACTTTGCTTTGATCAAAAATTAAATCATGTGGGCTGTGCTAATTGATATATATATATTAGTTTTTTAATTACAGAAGCAGAGAGCCTTTTTAATATATATTTTCCTTTGTAATATTTTTTAAGCTACATGATTATCCACTACTGCATTTGCTAGCAAACATTTTAATACTTCTTTATCATTAACAAAGGTACATCTCTAATATTCTAGAGTCAAAACATGTCTCTTTAATGAGTTTGACACAGCCATGGGCTGAGGGTTACCTAAACCAATCATTTTTATTCCTTAAAAATTGTTTGTACACTCAGTTGCTTCTGCACCTAATCCTCACAGTGCTGGTGCCTTTCTTTACCCACTAAACTCTATAAGGAACTGAACCCCTAACCTTGCAGACTCATGCGCCATGCTTTACCGTTTGAGGTATACTGAGTACCTGCAGCATGCGCTCCTGCTCTTGCTGCCACCTTTCCTGACGCTTTCGCTCCTCATCCGGGTCCCAAGACCAGCGGTCACCCCGCCTGGCCTGGGGCAACACCGGGACCGACACCTGATAGACCCCAACACGCACACACACAAACATCAACATGCACAAATACACACATGGCGCACAAATATTCATGCACACAGTCACACCCACAAAACAACCACCATTCAAACACAAACCCCCACACACACACTCACCCAACCATGAAACCAATGACAGACCAATAGATTGATATGTCCCCGACACACACGCAACCACCCCCATCAACACCAGTGTGCACACACATCCACCACAGGAAAAGAAGAAGGGAAGGGAAGAGACAGAAATAGTTGATCTACCACAACAGCACTACTCCAATGCTAGCCAAAGGACTCCTACTAAGGAGAAAGAAGACAGAGAAAGAGACAGATGAGCTCAAAGGAAAACAAAAGCAGTCTCAGCCGTTTTCTACAGCATCCTCATCTGGCATGCTACATGAACAGCCCTGTGTGCTATGATGTGTAGTACTTGCAGTATAACAATGACTTCATAAAACTGTACTAAAAACTAGTTATTGATCTCAGAAAATGATGATGAAATATTGCTTAAAAACCACTTGGGATTGTGAGATACGACCATCTTTATAGTTAATATACTGGATGTTTCTGAATGAAACAATGCGGGCAGAATCTTAAATTTGTTTTTCTTTTAGATTGTTTCTATTTAAATGAAAAACCTTTTATAACTGTGCTGATTTTTCATTTATCTTACCTGTAGACTTTCCTGAATTTTATCACATTTTCAGCATTTGACTTCAGTTTTATCTCTGTGTGCATGCAGTCTGTTTAACTGAACTACTGTAACCCAGGAGATATTAAGCCAGATGAGAAGCGATAAAAGGGTTGTTCAGATTCTGACAAAAAAATATTATGCAGCCAGATGATATCTTTTACTCACCTTTCCACGGCAATCCTTCTCCGTCTCCTCTGTAGAGAAAATGTGAGAAGGAACACAAGTTAAAATAAAATTTAAACAAACATTATGGATACAGTTGATCTGAGTATTGATGAGGCAAGGAGTGAAGATGCTGATGAAATCAAACAAAGAGCGAGACCAGTGACAGAAAACTAGTCCACCAACAGCAACTTATTACAGCTTAAGTTAACCAATAAGTAGTTTTCTTTCTTGCCCTCCAGCTTTTAATTTGTCTATGTTTTTATTTCGTTCTGCTATAAATCAAAACCTTTTCAAAATCATCCAGCTGTTAAAAAAGACCTAATGTGTGATAGGAATTTGTAACCTATATTGAAAAGTGCAATACAAATAAAACTATTATTATTATAATTTTGAAGTTTGAAAAGCTAGCAATTTAAAGCACACTGAGGCAACTGATCATTTATAACGTAGGCCACCCATGATAATTTTTATTAATTGTCATATGTGCATTATAATCAGTATGCTGGTAGAAACATTAATCAAAATGTACACTCCTTAACAATAACAAACACACTGAAGCAACTCTGCATTTCTTCCATTGTACATAGATGCAGAATAAATGAAAAACTTCAGAACACATTTAAAACTGAAAGAGAGCACTTCACTGATCATCCACATAACTCTGGAAATGAGTGAAAAAGAAGACATGGGACTGAAAGGTTGTTATGCTTCTTATTATTAAGAAACAGCATGGAAATCCTGTGCATTCAGCACCTGGGGACAGAAACATAAGCTCCACCGATGAATGAAGAGGTTTACCTGGCGGAGCGAAGAAGTCCCAGCGTAACTTAGGGTTGCTGGTTGCCAGCGGAGACCTGACACTGTTTGCAAACTCTATAGCGAAATAAAAAAATATGTGGGTGGAAGGAAAGGAGGGAATGAGGGAAGGAAAGGAGGGAGAAGAGTGATAAGGGATAGACAGATGTTAAAATCAGGAGTTGGTAAGGACATCGAAGAGAATTGGGGAATGCTTTAATAGTTCTGCTCCAGTGGTAATATATTGTAACTGGAAAAACAATCTTTTGTCTTTAAAGAGGTTGTAATTCAGATTCAGTAAAAACTTACCCTAACTTGATGGACAAAACGTCAGAATAAAAACAGAAAGGAAACAACAACAAAGCAGGGCTTTTATTACACTATCTAGAAAGGTAATAGTTTACCTCTTTTATACGTGCTTTTGTTGGATCTCAGGTCTAATTAACTTAAGCACTAGTCAACATTGTGACTTTAGTGGAATTTAGTGTAAGAGCCAATTAGCGATCATTGTCAGTTGAGTAGATAGGAAAAGTGAAGGTACTCTGTGCTGGATGCCAAAATAGTTTAATAATAGTCACACATTATTGAAGGCCCCTTTAACTCTGATTCAAACATCTTGCTATACAATAAAACAGAAAGAGTGAGAGGCTGAAAGGCAAAAGGGAAAAAGCCAGCAAGGAGGAAATGCTAATCAAACTCAGAAAACAAGGAGATGTATGGAAAAGAAGCTGCTGGCTTGGTATTTGGAAGTGACAAGTTCACTTACCTGCTGTTGTTTCCTTTGATGTGTGACATCCAGATGTTCCTGGTGCAGCTAAGCTTGGTACATTATCTCCTATCTGTGATGGCTCCTGAGAACTGGGAATACTTGCCTGCAGGCAAATTCAAAGATTATCCGTTGGATGGCTGACCGATCATTTCTTCGGATATGTTTGATGACAAAAGTTGATATTTGCTTGGTTAGCAGCCTCACCTGTAAAGTTACAGCCTGACTCTGCTGTGTGCTTACCCCTGACTGGACAAGGCTGGAGATGTTTTGACCAGATAGTTCAGTTTTTTCTTGTTTGGCTTCTGAAAACACAGTTTATCACTACTGTTAAACCGTACAAAAAATCCAGAAAGGTAAAGACACTTTCCCTTTACATTTACTCAAATACATTTTTATACTACGTTTTCCAAACGTTTCAGGGTCAAATGACAATAGCCCGTGACTGGTAATGATACAAGTCTATTAGCAAACACAAAGGGTCAGCATAGCAGCATGCTGTTCAGACCTGCAGGTGGCGTTTGTTGAGCTGCAGCATTTGATTTCTCTTCCTCTGGAGAAGCTACTGACTTGTTTTCAGTCTTCCCAAAGCTTTCTTCTGGCTTCTGGAGCTCCTGTAAGAGTCGCAGATGGTTTTCAAGTTGAATAATGAACCAAATGATCCTGAGATCAAGAGGCCTATGTAGTGCATGAGATCTATTTATAAAAAAATACTTCAATCTTAATTGCAATAATCAGATAAACTTGCCAAAAGCCCTGCAAGAGAGTAAAACGCATCTTGTCACATAGTAGGTATTTGACCAATTTCTAGTGTTTAAACTAACTGCTGTAAGAGGAGGACAGGAATGTAAAGTAAATAACTAAACCCACATACACGTGCATGTATGTACAACAACAGAATGAGGTGTTTCAGTCCAGTCTTCAGAGACTTATCACTGTGTGCCCAGAAAACGGATTCAATTTCCAGAGATATTTAACATTAAAATATAACAATGTTTGTACAACTAAACCTCCACTGGACCCATCCTTTGGTTTTTTATTGAGAGCTTCAAATTAAATATGCTCTGAATGGACTCAACCAGTTGGTATCCTGTAAGAATACTAGCTATAGCCATGAACTAAGCAGGGCTGTAGCAGTACCTATGTTTGAACGGTTAAGTTAAAGAAGGAAGGTGCAGGAAAGAATGACACCTACAAAATGATAGCTGAAAAGGAGAGCAAAGTACATTGAAGCTGGGGTAGGCGATTTATTTCAGAAGCTTTGTTGTTATATTTGTAGAAATTCTCTATACATACTGAGAGCAATCAAATCAAATACTCTAAATACACTAAAAAAATGCTTGTGGCTGTCTACCTATCTACCTGCGTGCACTAACTGTGTATGTAAATGTGTTTTGGCTATGCAGGGTGTGTGATTTTTTTGGTCAGATACTTTTAATATCTAGCTGTCATTTGGTAGTTTTTTCAACTTTGCCTACCGTAGATTTAATTTTAGGATCTTTCTAGCACACTAATCACTTGTTTTTAATTTGATTAGATTCAAGGTATAAGAGATCCTAATCCTGACCGATGGAAGCGAGGTGGGCCGGCTGGGTGGTGTAGAATGCTCAATGATCTTCTCTTCTTTGACATCCTTAGAAGGTGATTCTGTGCCACCTTGTGCCTCCTTGGTCTTTGTTGACACTGGGATTTTTCCTCTGGTTGAGGCGTGTGTTGGTGAGGCTGCAGACGAGGGAGCATCTACAGTGCTGTTGCTGGTTTGGGAAGGAGATGCCTGGAAATGAGGAGGAGATTCCCTTCCTTGAGTCTCAGGCGTGGTGGGAACGTCGACGCTCCCTATGTCACCATTGACTCGGAGCAAACCATCCGCCTAAATCGGAAGAGAACAGGTTTAATATTGGCTTTATTTAGGCATTGTACAGTTCAAGGAGATGCTTTAAAAGCGTTAAAAGGTATCCAGACAATACCTCGCTGATTTGCTCAAAAATATATACCATGATAAATTCAAACAGGCTTTACTTTTTAATATACCAGTGATGGAATGAAAACATTAATTACAATATGACCAGCTGAAGATTTGGAATTGAGGGTGGGCTAACTGGCTGATTAAATTTCTCTTTAAATGGATACTGTTGCTATAATTCTAAGGAATTATGGATTACTTATATATTCAAAATTGAGCAAATTTGATTACATGTGCATCTGTATGAGATTTTGTAATTTTCTAATTTGTTAAATTCTATTATTTTCCAGCTCTACATTAAAATAAATTACTTAAAAATCATGGTAAAAATCAGTTTGAAACACCTAGAGGAAACATTGCCTGAAGTTCCACTTCAACCAGGATGTTCTAGTTCAAAATATTTTCAATAGTAAACACTATGACTTGATGACAAACCAAAAAATTTAAATAAACCTCTTCCCTAAAAACCCAGTGCCCTCAATTGTGGTCATTACCAGCCTCTCATCTCTGTTCGTTATTAGCTTTCATCTGCCTCACAACACCATGCTGGCCTCTACGACAAAGAGGCACTAATGTATGTATGAAGAGCTCCTAGCGAGCGGTAACTTAAGACACAGTGGTGGAGCAGGGTGAATGCAGTCTTCTCAGTCTGCCCCCCTTTGCTTCCACCTTCTCATCCCTCTCCGAGCAGCCTGTGTGGGCCCTCTTTGTGTGCTGGGAGCCCACTTCACATTGAGAGGACCCTACTTGTCAACTTCTTAAGTCAATAGGGAACAGAGGGCTCCATTCAAAGCTGGGCTCCGTTCAGACTCCTGACAAGACATTCCAGAAAAGCGCTCTGCTCCATTAGGTCTGGTAATAACCTGTCCCTCCCTCCCCGCCACACCAAAACATAAGATCTAATTTTGAATATTCCCATTTGGCCATTATTCCAGAAGAAAAGGAAACGGATCCTGTGGAGAATACTTTGAGCTAAATTGAAACATTATATGTACTTTCTGGGAGGGGAAGTCATGCATTTTCCTAGAAAATGGTCAGCTCATCACCATGGTGGTTCTGTGGCATTTTAATGTAACTGCCAAGAAAGCTGGAGGGGAATTATCCATCAGCCTGTGAGGAGGGCAGCCAACACTGGGAAGTAACTATATGTAAAGTGGTCAAGGCCTCAACCATGCCCTGAGCAGAGGTACTAATGTGCCAACCCAACCTAATCAAAATCTGAATCATTTCATGTATGTATGAAGAATTTATCATCACCATGTAAGGAGACTAGACAGAGTTAACACTGTGGGGTGTACTTTAGCGGGGAGATCTAACTGTCACAAATGGACATTTGAAAGGGCAACAACACACATGCTGCAAAGCATATTTCCAGCAGTAATAATGTATTCATTTTTTTGTTTCAAGGTGATCTGCTGAGATAATGACAAGTGCTTCAGAGTCAGTCTCACCTTGCTGGGCCATGGTTCAGCAGCTGTAGGTCGTGACTGGAAGTAAGGCTTGGGCGTCAGCAAAGGCACCGGTTTGGGCGACAGGCCTCGCGTAGATGGAGGCTCAGATGAGCGAGAGCGAATCTGAGGTCGCTGGTGTGAGGAGTCTTTGGGAAGCTCCTCAATTCGCGCCTCCAATGTAGACGTAAACTTCGGGGCTGGGGCGGACTGCTGGCGCAGATACCTCATGGGCCCGTTGGGGTCCATGTCAAAGGGGTCTGGGGTTGTTGGGGAGGCGGACAGGGAAAGGGAGAGAGGGAAGGGTGAGCAGGGAAAGGAGGGATCAGCAGATATGCTGCGGTCCAGGATCTTTGGTAGCTGTAGGCGTTCCAGGACTGTTTCACTTATGGAGAAACGCTGGGCGTAACGTTGGAGGATAGAGGATGCCTCCTCTGGGGTTCTGGCTCTCCTGTATGCATCCCGCAGCTCCTCCTCACGGCGCTCCCTGTTGAAAAGGAAAGGAGGTACGTAAGGGATAATGCAAAACAACTGTGTAAATATGAAGTAAGATACAGTTTGAGATCCAAAAGGCAATTTTAGGCAGGTGTGGAAAACATTTTGTAAAGAAACTATGCTTTCAATTAACAAAATAAAAGTAAGTGAACAGAAGAAAAGTCTCAATTAAATATAGTAGTAGTTTATTATATTAAGTATATTTTTTGAAGGAACCTGGCATGTAGGTTGGCCCAAATATCTTGGAGAACTACCCACAGTTCTTGTGTGGTTTTAGGCAGCCTCAGTTGCTTCTCTCTCTTCCCAGGCAGACTCTATGATGTTGGGATCAATGCTCTATGGGGGCCACACCATCACTTACAGGACTCTGCTGCTAACTTTCTTGTTTATGCTGAATGATTTTCGCTGCATGTTTGGGGTCATTGTCATGCTGCAGATTAAATTTGGTGTCAATCTGAAGACGCCCTGAGGTACTGCATGATGAATAAGTACCTGACCTTTACCTCAAGCACTGAGGAGACCATTAACTCAACTCTGTTTGCAGAAATACAGTCTCAAACTTGCAAGGAACATCCACCACGCTTCACTGTTGATTACAGATCATTCTTGTACCGCTCTCCAGCCCTTCAGTGAACAAACCCGTCTTTCGTGCATAGTTGAGTCTCTTGGTCTTGTTTTCATTTTGGAGGTAGGGCTTCTTGGCCGCAAGTCTTCCATGAAGGCCACTTCTGGCCAGACTTTGCCAGACAGTAGATGCTGATATATTTATAGAGAGAGATGTTATCTGGTATTAGGTAACAAGACATGGACATGGTGGATATTTTACAAGCACTGACCAGGTAAAGCAACAGTGAACACACCACTGCAGATGTCATTGGGTACCACTTTGGTTTCGATCATTTGATAGGCTATATGCTGTTGTAAAAACGGAATCGCGGGTGGAAAAATCCGAAAGATGATCGTATACTGCTACCACAGTAACACTCTCATTCTGTGGGTAACACTGCCACCTATTTCTTCTACATTGATATCAATTGGTGCAAACCTGCTCTTCCTCTTTCAAATTTTCTCTGCGGGAGACCTACTTAAATGAACTCCAGGAGGAGTTGCTGTCACCTCTGTGTCCACTAACAGGAATTTGAATGAACATTAAATTATCTTCTTTGAGAAAGACCCAGTGCATATAAAGTGTTGTTTTTTAGCTGAATACAAATTAAATATCCTGTTTGTATTTCACCTACTTCTCTTCCACTATCTCTCTGTAAGTCTTGATGCTTCTCCTCCTCTCTGAGGGACAGGTGCCTCCTGACATCAACCGCTCCATCATCTTCCTCTCCTCCTCCTTCTTGATTAGGTCCTGGGAAATACTCCTCCTCCGATTTTTCCATCGGGCCAGGTCCTGACACACACAAACAGATTGAAGTGTTTCAGTTCCAAGTGAAACAAGGCAAGAGGGCTTGGCTCAGCAGCGTTGTGAGACTTGAAGCACTGCTGTGGCTCAAGAAAACTGATTTAAGTTCTTTAACTGGCGCACAGCAAAAAAGTATAGGAGTTTGTGCTTCGGCCTGATGGCACTAAAAATCATTGCATATAACTGATAACTTCGGACACAAAGGAGACAAAATTCTACAGGGAGTTAAAAAATAATCTTAATTTGTGAAAAAAAAAATATATATGAAAAATCCCTGTACTAAAAAAATCAATAACTAAATAAATGCACACAGAAAAATGAGAATAGTAACGTAAAGTCATACAAATCTGAGAGACTCACATCCTGCCAGTGATCATCCTCTTCCTTCATCTTGTTGTACTGGTTGTGCATCAGTTCATGACGCACCTGACTGTGGGGCTGCAAGATGGCATCTTCCTCACCTCGCATGTCAATCATACTCATACTCCTAGAAAAAGGAGGAAGGGACAGACACACAGAGAATATGGTAATGAAAAACATTCTGAAATGTCATTTCTGAATAGGACATGGTTTAGTTTTTCTTGTTTTTTTATAATGCTGTTAAGTCATTCCATAAATTGTCCTCAGTGTATTGTACTACAAGTAGAACATGTTTATATGTTGGACTCATAGAAAACAGAAATGTCATAGAACATAGTAAAAACATTTTCAAAGACACAGAAGTGGCAAAAAAAGTGAATGTCAAAAACGCACTGAAAAATTATTCTCCCCTGAGGTGATGCTCCACCCCAAATCTATGTTTATAAAGTTGTGTCAAAGAAAACAAATCATCCACAATAATGATTCTGTACCAATCCATCATGATAACATAACTTGTGACCAATCACTCAATACAGACAACAAAATAACATTGGTCTTTTAAAGATCCCATGTGCATCTTCAGAGGTAACCTCGTGCTCATCCAGTAGGCATAACTAAGATTTTACAACCAATTCAACACATAAAAAACCCCCAAAAATATAACACATCTGCCCCTCAAATCAAATCAAACAGCATATCTCCCACATAGCAGCTGGCCTTTAGGTTTGTTCTTTTGAGTGATCCCATATTGTTTCATGTTACATTCCAGGAAATGCATTACATTAAGGATGTAAATATGCTATCTAATAGGATCTTTGAAAAAATCAGCTTGGTATTTGAGGTTGTAAAGCTTTCAGGTGAATATATGAGATGCAGCAACGAAGAGTGGTAACAGAAAGTTAGTAACGTTAATCAATTTTTAGATTACAGACAAAACAGTAAAGTGCAGCCTTATTGTTAGCAGCATGCAGTTGTATTGGTTGTTCATCACATACATATAGGGTAAAATCATTATATACCTGCTTAAATAATTGTCTTGTTCATTAAGGTCATGGAGTAACTGTTTTTGTTTTACAACTGCATTGCCAACATACCAACATAGTTATCGCTTGGCTTAAAATGACAAAAGGGGTGGCATCAAACACCATTTTCTGACTCTTACAATGCTCCTTCATGGTCAAATGTTTTATGGAGCTCACTGGTCACTGATGGACCAAAGAAACTTGTAGCAGGAGAGTGTTTTCCACCCGGGAGATGACTAACGTTTGTTTTCCAAAAGTTTTAGCCAGTGAGACCGGTAAAGGTACAGGTGTAATCTTTGGACTCTAAAGTGCATTTGAGTCACCTCCTAGTTATGAATCCTCTCTCCTGCTTCATGCAAAGCTGCTCTTTTAGCTTTTAGCAGCAAAAGGAGATTAATATGATGATTATTTTTGTTTCGTAACAGGATGGGATGTTGGGAGGGTGGTTGTAATGGTTGTATTACATGAAACATGCACTGAGGTGATGTTTGAGGAGCACAGTTTAGTAAGCCCTCTCCACAGCCACTACCTCAGGCACCTTGAATAAATCTGAGGGGAATGTCCACAAGATTTATTGAAAACGTATTTTCATGATATTTCAGATTAAGAATAAGGGCTAAGGGACATTATTTGAAACTCTGTCAAAAATGTCCACAATGACAACCCATTTAACTTGCTATCATTATTTAAGTGATGTAAGTAGAAAAAATCTGCCTAATCGGGAGACATTTTGTTTTTCATGAAAAGAAAACTTTTGTAAAGAGCTGTCCTACATCCCATAAGATTATCTTGTAACAAATGTAGTGACACATCAACCCTGACTTACCACACTTACTCCCTCTTACACCTCCATGAAAACTGCAAAAAATTCCATCTTTACATAGAACATTTTGGTCCATTCATTTCACTCTTCTGGGTGGTTTTAAAATTTTGCCCAATTCTTTGTGTGGGAGCTGCTGGGATAAATTAAAGCACTAATTAATGACATTCAGTAGAGAATTACTGTATCACATGAGGGCTGTGAGAGGCCAATTTTAGAGGACTTTTTTAAACCTGGCAAGAGTACACTTCGGTGGAAAACACTACATTCTAGCAATGTGTCTATCATTACAAGAGGGTCAAACATAGAGACACTAAAAACTGGCACAAATTTGCTCATGTGACCTTCAATCAAACAAAACAACAACACTACTCTACTGTCAGAAAGTGAAGTTGTTGTCAACAGCATCAAGAAAGGTCTTTGATTTACTTCAACCTTTGGCAGATTTTCTCACTTGCATAAAGAAAAATCCAATTCTATAACTCAATAAATGATTAAATGACTTAATGAGCAGGCTTTGTTTTGTAGTGCAAAAGGACAACTTACTGTGAGTCATCTGACACACTATGAGTGCGGCTGAATCTAAGGAGGGCAGAGAGCACAATCACAAATGAATACAAGTACACTCAACAGAGAAACACGCCATTCACTCGTGAATATTAAAACACAGTGATGGGATATTTGATAGCTACTGGGTAACATACAGTGTTGTGATCACAACTGATGAGTTAGTTATGACAGATTAAACACAGAATATGCAGGTTGATTAATAATGTTTTAGCCATGTGTGTCCAGTGGTTTTGAGTCCAAGCACAGATTTTATCAGTGGGTTTAATGCTGATCCTTACACCAAGCACAAGGGGGCAGTCTTATCCATAACACAGGCAGAACAGAAAAGACTACAAGTTTACTGCATCACTGCAAACCAAAATACTGCTAGCATACAATAGATGCATATGGCAATGATCTTAGAATGCAGCTGGTACTTCTATAAGTACCAACTATATATATAAAAAGCACATGCATCTTTTATGAGACAGCAACATCAAGGATGTGGCTCTTTTTTTTGTCTGTGACCACCGTTTGTAGGTTTGGCCTTAACCACAAAGGTCTTCACACAGCCTTTTTCATGGAGCTGCCTCTGTGATGTTGGCGGGGTGTGAGAGAAAGTGTGGACTGTGGTTTCTTGCCACAAGAGAACAAGGAGACTAAATTAGAGAAGTCTCAGTAAATCAAGACCAGATAGATGGTTTTCTAAGATGGCTTTTTGCTGGTATGTTGTAGTAAAATGTCTATTTACCATGTGTTTTTTTGTAGGAAGATGTCAGCCTGTGATACAGTGGGCTTGCATTAAAGCCAATGTAATTTCAGCAATTTATCGGAATAGATATAATGGTCAATGTTTAATTGATCAATAGCAGTTTACCAATTTATGCAGAGATGCATGTTGTACATGCATTCAAGAACTGGCAAATAATTGTGGTTCAAATTGGATCAAATTCAATTCCCCTAATTAGGTCTCAAAAGTAGCCAACTGAAGTCATGCATAGTTAATCAAAGCTCACATTTGCAAACGTTTTTTTCTTTTCCAAATTTCTTAATAACAGAAAAAAGCGAGGAAGTATGAAAAAATTTCCATGCATTCTGTGTACAATAACAACTGCTTTTTAGAAAACAATATCACTTTGCATTCAGGTAAAAAAGGTCATGCAATCTTTCAGTAGTTAAGTCATCCAAATAGGAGCATTGTGGTCTGAGGTCGAGGTCACATGCTGAGATTGAGAAGTCAAAGGAATCATTGAAATATTGGATCCTTTGATTTTAAAGTTGAATTATGTAGTTTCAGTTCAACGCAGTGGTAATTCATAAAATATAGTGTAGTTGCTGGACGGGGCTCACATTGATGGAAGATTGCTGTCCAACCAAGATGTCCCTCCTTGTGGGTCCTCACTTTCACTCCGTGCCCTTCCCTTCCGTCGGCCTGTATCGGTTTTTGCTGTTGTAGCAGTTGCCATGGCAGTGGATGCTGGAAGGAAGTGGGAGGGACTATGTGTGGTGACATGTTTGGGAGACGTTTGGCGGGTCCGCTTCTCATCTCGCTCTGCATCTGTAACTAACAGGGCACCGCCGACTCCCTTCCTCACGGTTGTCTCCTCCTGCTCTGCCACAGGTGGATGTTTCCCAGATGAGATGACGTGGCTTGTTGCAACTAAGGGAGATGCCATAGCGTTTGCGGCTAGAGTTGTCGAACCGTGGAAGAGTTCCTCTGAGCACGAGCGAGCAGGAGTACTGCAGAAAGCAAAGCAAACTACAACGTACTGCTGTCTGGTTAACATCCTATATCATCAGACAGCATTCCTCTGGAGGAGCCTAAACGAAGGTTTTTGAAGACATAAATCTAAAAAAAATAGCATGACACAGTCACAAATCCCTTCAGAGCAGACTGGATGTGAAAACAAATTGGAATCACAAAGCCTAAGCAAAATATACTGAATGCTCTGTTGTTTGTCATCCTGTGATGAACAGCTACTTTCTGGGAGGCTTATTATTGGACTGTAAATTCCCAGAGTGCATGGCAGGGAGGGAAAGGCTGTGAGAAGGCCAGGATTCAGTCCCAGCCTGCTCAGGGTCAGGGAAGTAACAAAGCCTCATTTCCGTACATCCTGAGGGTGGGTGCATGTAATGGTCCCTGCGAGTGTGTTTGTGAGTAAATTATTGTGTGTAGCTGCTGTGTGTATGGGTTTGCATTTGATGGTGTGTGCAGTTTTATTCCTAGACTATGACAGAAGAGGTCAAGTGAGATATTATTGGAAAGTAGATGGCAATTGTATTTTCTTGGCCCATAGTTGTTTTATTTCTAGATATTTAGATTGTATTTCAATTTACATTCAATTCAAAATACATCACTGCAGATGTTTTTTCACCCAGCTGAATTCCTGGTTGAACTAATGAATAATACTCACCCTTCCAAATGGTACATTTAATTTTGCCATTTCTGCTCAAGCAAGAAGAAAAACAGCAAACAGCTAAGCACACACCACCATATGGCTGGATGTCAACTCTGCTCTACTTCTATCCAAACAAACTGATAGAAACAACTATATCAGCAACAGAGTGATCTACAAAAAAAGATATGTCAACACAACTTTGAAAGGCAACTTCAAAAGCTGATATGTTGATATTATAGAACTGTTTTTAAAACCATGAACTCCTGGCAACACTAAAATGCACAAATTCCAGCCTCAGTTTTCTTCTGGAAAAATACAAGCTGTTACCAGCTAAAGAAGCCCATATCAAAGCCTTAACAAACATCCTAGAAATCCCCTTTTCCTCAGCTACACACAAGATTTCTACTGAGGATTCTTTTCACTCCCTTGAAACACTGACAATCCAATCAATGCCATAACATCTGTGCCAGAAAAAGCGGTAAACTGGGGGTGTGACTCTAATAACTCTCCAATAGGACTGTCAATGAAAAGTCTGCTCGACTAGAAAATAACACCAGATTGCGAAATAACAAGAGGCTTAAATGGACATTTTTCAAGAGAGCAACACTGTAATTATGCATCATAGTGGACACTGTTAAAAATACAAAAGCATTGTACCTTGACGGCTCATAATATTCACCTTGTTACCTGACAATAAGTGGCCTGATGGGTAAATAACTCTCTATACATGTAACTTGGTTTCACTGAGCACTGAGCCTCTTGCTGACTCACAGTTAAGGTGTTTTGGATAAGAAGAGAATTGGAAACGATGATCTGGTAATGGTAGTTGCCAAAGAGGAAAAGGGCTGGATGGAAACACCAGCTGTAAATATTTGAACTATTTCCTACCAAAGAAACAGTCCTGATGAAAAATGTTCACTGTATGTGGATTAACCTGATTAACTGGGACATTTAATTTGGACAGCTGTGCTGGTGGTGAGTTTCTAATGCTTTTTCAGTATTTTGAGTCACACAAATAAAATTAACTTTACCAGCATTGTATGTTGGTGCAGACAGGAGTTTCAACATTTGCACATGAAACTATTAAATTATCTGCATGATTAGATGTCCCCTGTAGCTGTTACAGAAGTACCAACTATATATATAAAAATCACATTATTGAGTTATTTTCTGATTTGGATGAAATAAGCCTTTAATAAAACAATGGTTCAGCTGCAATAAGAACATTAAAGTAATTCCCCAAAGCTTAGCATTGTACTCTAACTTCATGATATTGTATTTTTTTCATTACCCACAATGCAACACGACAGCCAACAGCTGGTTGAGCGTGTTATGCTAGTAGTGGCTAATGTAGCATCAAGCCTCAAGCAGAGATGAGGAGCTGGCCACAGAGGTCTGGCAAGCTTGCTTCTCTCTAACTCCACACCCCCAGATTTTTTCCCTTTGATGTGCAAAATCAGTTCCCCTTTAAGAACAACATGTAGAAACTCAAAAACAATATCAACAATATCTCACTAGAAAAATAAAAACTAATAATTTCAATTTCTATAAGACAATCAATAACCTTTAAGGTCTGAATGATTTAGAGGAACTATGAATCAGAACCATGTCAATAAAAAGGGAATTGGGCTGCTGATTTGGGGTATTGAGAAAAATATAGATCAATGTGAAGACCTTTGCTCAGAGGTGACCATCAGGTGAGTTAGAGTGTCCATGGGGGGCTCTGCATAGGGCTGGAGGAGGCTACAGGGCAGAGGCTCACTGCTCCTCCTCACGCCCACTGCGAGGATCTCAGTGCAAGGTGTCTGCTTCCCTTCCTCCTCCTTGTTTTTAGCCTGGCTCTCCTTGTGAATCTGTATCTGGGGTTTGAGGTACGGGGTGGGGGACGGGGTGGGGGACGGGCTGGGGGACTCTCCAGGTGGGGCGTCTAGGCTAGGGACCTCATTTGGACTGTTAGGTCACCCATTCATACATCACATACAGGAAAGGAAGACATAATCACATTGGAGCAAAATTAGTAAAGTAGGTTCACATGCAGGAGTTAAAGAAGGCAAGAGGGAAAACACCATGACAGATGCAAAGGAAGGAGATGGAGGGGGAAAAAAAAGTAAAATCAATTAATACATGCTTTTTGATGCAGCACATGACACAATGGATGAAGTTAACAATAGAGGGAATGAAAGACAACACAGCAACACATACTAGTGATACACACAGGCATGACATACACACACACACACACACACACACACACACCACTCGCAGATCTTTTAGGAAATTTAAATACCCTGGAGTAAGACTAATTTCATTATTTGGCTTTCCTGCTGCTGTATATGAACAGGTAAACAATGATGCTTCCAAACCTCAAAACATTAGCCTTGTAAAACTAATAAAGTCAAATCCTGGCATTGCCCCACACCACACACACACACACATTGCACATACTGATACTACAATTGATCAAAGCACATTATGGATCCACTCAGCCAGCAGAAATTTGAAACTTCTAAAGTGAGAGCCACTGATGATGGAACCTTTAACAGACTAACATTTGTGATCCCAGCGCTTTCGTGTGGTGACATGCCAAACCAATAAATGCCAATAAGACCTTCAGTCTTTAATCTGCCCCATTTTTGACTATGCAGCATATTTCACACTTTTACTTTGTCAGAGCTAGAGCCAATGAAAACACACATCTGGGCTCCATCAGCCACTCCCATATGTACAGAACTGGACAGAAAAAAATAAGCAACAGCTGAAACATTTAATTACAGACATCTGCAATTTGACAAAAGTGACACCTTCTCTTGCAAAATGTTAAACAACACAAAATTAACCCTAAAAGGGTTGTTGGGTATTAGAATTAATGAATAATAACGGTATGATTTCTTTTCCATCATTCTGTCAATCTGGTCAGTTTTATTAATCCTGCACACGTCATACTTAAAAAAAAAAACACTACAAAACTAATTTAAAACAACTCTTTAATATTGAAACCTCCTATGCAAAACGTTGTCTTATACTAGATATATTTTATTGTGTTTTCTAACTATTTACAGTTTTCAACTAAATTTAAATATTTTAACTACTAAATAAATGACATACTAGCATTTCCTGTCTATGACTCTATCAGTCAGACTCACCTGAAAGGTCTGTCTCCACCTATAGGGGAAGTGGCAGTACTCCAACTCTTGCGTCCTCCATCTTCTTTATCATTCTTCTTCTTGCGGAGTGGCGTGGGCAAATATCCACTCTGGTTGGTCTTGTTGGGCAGGTACTGGTTGAAGGGCATCGCGGTACGTGGCTCGCTGACTGACGTCCGCCGTGCGGACATGTCATCCTTACGGACATCTGGCATCTTCCTGTGGGGGGGACCGTCGGACTCTGAGTCACTGCCGCGGCCTGTTGAGAGGAGGCGATGGGGAAATGTAGGAGGTTTATTAACAGTGCCATGGATCTTTTATGTTAACACAGAAAAATTATATTGTTCTTCATGGCGCATCAATGTAAGAGCAACTTCTTTTCATTATTTGTGATGTTGGTGAAGGATAAACAAATTCCAATTAAAGGTCAATGACTGAAAGCTTAATCAATATGTGAAATTACATGAGATAATTCAACATAATCACAGGGACACTGCCACCGATTGCTTTAATGCTATGAATTCAAATTTTAACAAAACAACAGATTTATCAGCAAATTACTTTACAAATCATTACTCCATTTTCCCATTTCAATTGTTGTTAACCGATACTGTGATTACACTGTGTCTCTGATATGTTCCATTAACTCTCTGAATGTTTAAAAAATGTAATGATTTCCCTTTAAGTATCCCAAAAGCAAAAGAGACAGGAAGGGAGAAAAAAAGCCTAAAATAAGTTGAGCTGAGAAAAATTAGATTGAGGAGTCTTATTGTAGGTACCCCAGATTTCTAATCTCTAAATAAAAATATCACTTAAAATCTACATAATTTCTCTCCAATCTATATCATATAGGCCTACAGAACTATGCTGAAGTGCTGTTACAGTGTTATTAGATGCTGTGCATTCCAGTGGCTGAACATAAATCAACCCAAAACACTGTCTGTCTGTATCATATTTTAAACACAATGTTAGCTCTTTAATGTTAGTTGCAACACCTGGCTTTGCAGAAGTGCATCGCTCAAGGACTTCCCGTTTGGAGTCTTAAATTCTTCAGCAATACGTTCATATGCAATCCTTAGAGACATTCAAAAGAGAGAAATGAGGATAAAGCTGACTGAGGACATTGCATGTTTACTATTCCAGTGATGTACAATCAGCATACCACTAATTTCCACCGTCATTTAGCTGTTTTTTGCTAAACCACAGGAAATAGATACCTGCAGCTTTGCCTTGCCCAAGATCTCTTAAAATTCCTCTCCAAGATGTTCAGCACATGTGCTACTGTAATTTCCCTCCCATTGAATGCACACATTCTCAATCTATGACCTATTAATTTATGACTCAATGTATATATTTTCCAGATATAAATCTACAATTTCAACCAGATCTAAACCATAAAACCTTCCCTTAGTTCTGAATAGATACATGTGGATGCAGCCACAGCTCTCAATGGAAACAAATGTCACATTTTTAACTTGTGAAAACCTCCCCTTCTATCCATAGACTTCCTAATTTGTATGTGGTCTGAAGGATTGACAGATCAAGGTCCAAAAGAGGCCTTGAGGTATCTACACTTTCAACAATGAATGGTTCAATTGTGACTCTTAACCCATAAAAATTAGAAACATAAGTGACTCTTCCATCCAAGTCTATCCATCCTAAAGGAACAACATATGTCTTTATGCGTTGATCTGCTCTCTCTACACATATGGTAACACTGAAGCTTGAGGGAACGTTTATCATGGGTTAGTGCCATACAGTACCAGAGCTTCACAGAAACGTACTAATCAATGATCATCCACCCGCAGTAATACTACAGGAAATGTAAGAGTCCAGTCCAATATACAGTACATAGTAACTGATAAGCAGGAGCATAATTACAAATGATACCATCAACATTTCTAATAGCATTCCATTTAGGATTCTGATTACTTAAATTAAGCTCTGATGCTAACAAATCTTTTATCTTTTATCACTCTTATTATTAGTAAAGTATATATAATAATGATAATAAAACAAAAAACATCTCAATTATGAAAGTTTATTCTTTCAAACAGCCTTTGACTAGCAATGCAAAAATAGAAAAAGGGAAGGGCAGGCTTTACTGTATGAGCCCCAGAAGCACAAAGTCTCATTTATCAAGGGTGTATCCATCTACAAAACTTGGACCAAACAAAAGAGCATCGCCAATATTGAATCTCTTTCAGAGATTAAATTAAACTCTTCTCCCTGTCCCCTAATTACTGTCAGGGTGAAGTCAGTTTACAGAGCTGAATAGTGAAAGGGCTTTGTCTAAAGGTCATGGCAGGGGAAACCTGGCTCAGTCGAGTTAGTGTGCATGCTAATAAATGGATTCTCTTGTTGAGGTGTACTCAAAGCTCCCTGTGATTGGGTGATAACTGCATTGTTATACTGTTCTCACTTCTCTAGTTTGTGCCTCCTGGGTCTGACCTGAACACTGATGGTATGATACCTTCAATAACAGCTTATAAATATTATCAAACATGCGCATTTTCTGTCCATAACCATTGGACCAAACATGGCAACAGAACGTTAGTAGATCACTTTTCCCTCATGCCTCCTCATTTTAGTCTCCTTCATTCAGTAAGCAATTTGGTTAATTTTTCAGTGTTTCAGTTTAATGACAGAGTATGGATCGGAGGTGGGAATACGGAGTAGCTTGACGATGTGACTAATCAGCTGTGGGTACACGTGTTGGTGGACAGACTGATTGTGGTAATGCTTGCATAGGAAAAGCTAGAGGGTTTAAAATAAGGTTTATTTTATTGCTATTGAAAATAAACCTCTTTCACTGCTGTGCTAGATTTCTCCTTGTATGATTGTTAAACGTCATTCAAAAATGTGTTAATGGCTCTTGTTTTGGACATCTTACATTTGCCACTGATATAGAGCTAGTATTTTTTCTGCTATTAAAAACTATGACTACTTATCTGCAGGTTCAAATTCAAATAACTAGGTTCATTGCTTTGATTTTAACAGTGGAGATTTAAGGTGGATTTTATCCCTCATTTCTGAGAACTACCAGCAACATTTTTAGCTAGTTTGACTGTTGACATCAGGCTTTGGAGACGGTAGTTTCCTTTCCACTTCCCTCAAAACAAAAAAACACAGTGAGACAGGATGCTTGGCCTTACTCTGTTTTCCCACAAGCAGTTCAGAGATGAAACGTACATTAAAACTTGTGACGACTGCTGTAACCTTTTACAGGCTGTCATTAAAATTTTAAAAGGGTCAAATTCAAATTATGTGTAGCAATTAACAGCTTTCAATGACAGAATTTGGCTGGTTTATTTGACTTAATTTAACTTCAACACAAGAAAGAACAAAAAAAAAATTTGTAATACAAATTCACAGCTGTTTGCAGTTTCTTTGTTTTGTGAAACTTATCATCATATAAAATTGTTATGCTACCATGTTGGATGATAAAATAATAATTATTTATTAATATTAATCTATTAAGGCAACCCAGGTTGATGGGATTTGCTTTTGGTACTGCCTGACAGGTAGGCAGATATCAACATCACATTAGACACAATGACCAGCACAATGTATATGGTTAGATATGCTAATATACTGTGTTTTTATCTAAACAAAAATTTACTATAGACTAATAAACAAAGCAATTGATAAAGATTACATACATGCGAACAGAGCTTTATGTTTTATCTTTTCTGTTACTTTTAGTATCTGTGATTATTTACTGTACTATCCACCAGTGTAGCTTTGTGTGTGTTAACACTTGTAGAGTCTAGTGATTGACTGAATCCTAAAGGAGGTAAAACCACCTAAAAACCTATGCTAAAAACACAATGACTTGATTTTTAGGGAAATCTAGATAAGAATGTGTAGAAATCAAAGTGAGAAATACCTAAGTGTACCTCAAACAACTTTTATGGAAAGTAGCATACTTAAGGGAGAATTAAGAGTATCTGTCAGGTGCACAGAGCATGAGCATGTTTCCATGAAAACTGTCAGTCAGAATAGACTCATAGATGTCCTTGTATAGTACTTGACATCTAAAAACATTTCCAGGAGAACTATTAAATCTTTGCACATGTTCTAACTTACAATATATTTTAACTCAGGAATTCACATTTTGTACACTTCATGAGGTGAGTTAGTCTTCCAAGTAGTAACTACTGTATATGTTTAAATATTTAGAAGATGAGTATGTATCGTATCATTGTTCTCAAACCAAAAACTGGAAGTTTCATCGTTGCTGACAAATCAGTGAAATGTCAGATCAAAAACCTCTGAAAGCCCTCATTCATTAATCCACACCTGTCTCTTTTTTTCCCCTCACTACATGAGGATGTTTCATCTCTTCCTCTCTGTAGTGCTGTCACTCACCTCATTCCACACTTCAAGAGAGTTATCAAACAACTGTAGCCCAGGGCAACAGTCTCAAACACTGAGCACAAAGCCACTTTTGTGCAGATGGCAGTGGCAGAGCTGGAAATCCTTACTGAAAGGTGTCACAAACACTATCAGACTGCAAGGTTATAAAAGCACAATGGTCGAGGCACCCATACATTCACATAGATAACCCCACACAGCTGCAGAAACACATAGAAGTTACTGTACAATAAAACAGAAATTTTTAAGGGGAAATGAAGAATCCGAAAAGAAAATGAGTAACAGTTAGCTCCACGAGGTCAAAAAACATTTTAATCTAATCATAACATGTATATTTCAAATAAAAAATTTTATAAAAATTTTTCTAATGCTCTTAAACAGAGCCACCACTGACCAGGCATCTCACAGTGTTCAAACTACAGCTTAAAGCCCCCAGACTTTATTCCTCTCAAGGGCTGAGAGGAATCTGATGAGTAAACAGCAAATTACTACATTGGAGTGCATTTTTTCTAGATCAAATCAAACCGTTATGCCTGCAGCCTTCTAGTCACTTCCATTTTATCAACTAAATCAGAATTTTAAGGGTGGGAATCACGATACAATATTACCACAATACTTATTTCACGATGCTATATTATTGCGATTTTAAACTATTAAATATTGTTTTTTCCAACTTCAAATTGTGTCGCCAAAGGAAAACTCTTTTTGTCGTGGATTGCAAAAGCAATTGATTTTATTATTATAGTACCAAAAAGTTTCTCATGTACAATTTATATAATAAGATCAATGATCATTGTGTATCGATACAATATTGCCATGGAAAATATCGCGATACTATGCTGTATCGATTTTTCCCCCCAACCCTAGTTTCCACAAGTACAAATAAATCAAAGGTCTTATTTCTTAAATCACTGGACACAAATGTCATTGGATGTCATGTTGGTGAAGCCTGTGTTAACATAACTGGTACTGGTGTTTGAAACAATGACAGGTGTGAAAGCATTTATAATTGTAGCTAGGGTTGTGCATGGTTTTTTTTTGGACATTGCAGATAGACATCATTTTTCTTTAAATAAATGTAGAACAGTTTGGAACATACACGGGCATTGCGGAACGACAGCCTTTAGTACAGCCGCACATGAAACACAAACTACCTCATTAACAGTGTATGTACACTGTGCCTGTAAGCTACATTTGACCACAACAAAAACAGCAGTGCCTGAACTGAATTTCTTCCTTTTCACAAGGTACATAGCTATGGCTAAAATGAAACAGTGGCTGTAGCTTCATGTCAAAACAGGCATCATGGATATCATTCACTTTATTCTTTCAAAAAACCTTTGACTAGCACTGGGCGTTGTCCTCTGAAAACACAGGGAGGAGAAAAACAAGCTTTACAACAGTAGCACTGACAATGGACCTCATTTATCTATATACTATATCTGTACACCACAATTGACCCAAACAAAACACCCAGTACTGAATTACTTCCCTTTTACAAGGCATACGTGGCTGTGGCTAAGATGACACAATGGCCATTAAACAGATTTAACCTTCAACCTTTAATTTAAAGGGGAGTCATTCTAACCGCAACATCACACTTTCACAATCGATTCAAACAGGTACTGGTAGTGTTCTATGAGAATATGAAAGTGTGTGAAGAGTAAACTATTTCCTACCATCGCTGCTGCCACGGGCGACCAGGATGTCCGGCGACGGGGTCTGTCGTGAGCGTGAACCGAAGGAGTCCAGACTGTCGAACGAGTCCTCACGGCCGTGGCGTGGCGGGGAGAGAGAGTCACTGCGCTCAGAGTCCCAGCAGTCAATGTAGCCACTGTCCCGAATGCTGCGTTTAGGGCTCTCTGCCTCCTCTGCCTCCTGAACATTTATAAACACAAGCCCCGTTATATCAAATGCACAAATTAGCATATCATATGGTTACACAAAAGGAAAGATGCATAACAATTGACAACCTACAGAATTTAATTTTCACCTGGTCAAACCATATTTAAAAAACGTGTTTATGTTTTGTCTCACAAATATCTCACTGTTAAGTCCTAAGTGATCATTGCTAACCCTCTTGCTTTTTCTCCTTCTTCCTCTCTCTGCATTTCTCACCTTTTTTCTGCTCAAATCACTCTCTATCACTCTCTCTTCACCTCAGTGACCCCTCCCATTGTCTGTCTACAGTTTAAACAGCTAATGGAAGGTGGGGAAAGGCTTTTCCTGTCAACCAAAAGACTTCCTGTTTCTGACCCCTAAGCCATCTGTTATGCAACTCCCAAACCTCTGACAAACTCTGCATTATGTTTTCAACTAGGCTGTACTGCCGCAGAATTTCTGCCTCACTTAATCCTTGTCTAACATATATTCAGCTTTTTTTGGTGAAGCAATGACATTGCACTGTAAAGGTGCTTTGGTCAGACAGGTGGGTGTAATCAAACATATGCTGAAAAACCCAATGATACACGGCCACACATTCAACATTTAAATAATAAGTTCAGCTTCCATTTCATAAAGTATTAGAAGTGAAATGGGAAAAGCCAATTTAATTTTGAATGTGTGCACCTGACGTATTTTCCTTGAATCAATTCTTTTTTTTCACAGAACGTGGCTTTGTTTTGGTCAGCAGTAACGTGTGAACATCTGGGAAAGTAATTCTGCTGAGTTGGCAGAGATTTCTGAGTTTTATAGAACAGCAAAGGAACATCACATTGTGGAATAAATTGCATGGGGATGACATCATGGTCATGAGTGGCTGTCATAGTTTGAGTGTGTGCCTTTGGGGCTCGCTTATGCTAACTTTTCTCTGTCCCTTTTGGTCAGTAAAGGGGTGAAACCAGGTTAAGATGATTGACAATAGAGGCCGATTTAATAGAGGTCATCCCTAGACCTCAGGTGGGGGGTGTTATATGCTGCCTGAGATGATTTCTAAGAAGTCTGTGTACATCTCGTCAGAACATTTGGTGAATGCGACGATCAAATCTGTGATTTTCTGCTTACAAGAAAAAGGCAGCCTCTCTCTATATCCTTTACTCCACCAGCAGTGGTTGCTAGGAGATCTGTAATACAAATGCAACAGCAACTACTGACTGAGGGGTGGCGATGGCACGAGGGGTGGCGATGAGGCAGTGGATAAGACACATGCCTTTAGTGTGAGAGACCCTGGTTTGATTTCCACTGCGACACAGCCACCAATATTTCCCTGGGCAATACACTTAACCCCTAGTTGCTCCGGAGGAGTGCGACCTCTGACATATATAGCAATTTTAAGTCGCTTTGGATAAAAGCGTCAGCTAAATAAGTATTATATATGTATTGTCCCTGTACTTTAGATTAAGATCTTCTTCATATTTTTAGCCCTGGACAGTACTAACTATGATTTAACAAACCTTTCGCATCTGTGACAGCAGGCCCTCAAACTCTTTCAGGTCCAGTGTGGGCCCGTTGTAGGAGGTACAGCCGTTGGCAGCACGACCCAACCAGTAGATGGTAATTAGAACCTAAATGGGGTATATAGGGTTGGGGTAAAAAAACAAACAAAAAAACTGTCAGACATTATGATAAAATTAGATTATACTTTGTATATAAAGAAAACGTCAGTCAAAGCAAAGGGTTCCCATACCATAGACCGGTAGCTGCTAAATCTTTGAATAATTTAAAAACAATAGCTCATCTCAGTGCCAAGTGAAAAAAATTACAGATATGTATGAGAAAAAGGTTTCATTTCACTATATTCATGTACAAACATGGACGTACAAAATATGTATGTAGCACTGCAGGCCAACATATGAAACCTTTAAAATGGCTACAAATAATATTTTGTCAGATCATTGTTGTATTGAAGGAAGGTAAAAGTGCATGAAGTAAACAAGTAAACCATTGTCAACTCTGTTCAGTTTTTTCCCTACAAAGCAATACAAGCCGACTTTTCTGTCATTACAATCCAGCCTCTTCCAAAGAAGTTACATGTTAGCTTATGTGTCCTACACAAACATGATAAGACTGAACCATTGTTCTAACCTTGAAACCACTCTCAGACACTCCTGCTTAAGTACAGCATCCGTTCAGGGCTCACAGTGATTTATATTTGCCTGTTCGCTAGCTTAGCCCTGAGTGCATAAATTACCAGATCAACCTCATCTCCTCCAAACACAGTGACCCTGTAAAATCAGTAGCTGAAGGAGGTGTCCTTTTGACCCTTGCTTGTAACCTAATGTCCTGAAGTAATGCTGAATGTGACTGAGGAACTGAAGCTTACTGCATTCAGTGTGACTCCCTTTGGAGTCAGCTAAATGACTAAAATGCAGAATGTACAGATTGGGTGTAGTCACAGGAACATCGCACAGAGCTGCACCCTTAGCACTGTTGGCTAAGTGTTCCCGGCTATATTTACTGTGTCCATGTCAACCAGCACTCTACAGGGACTGCTTTGATAAGAAAGCTCAGCATGGCTTAATGTGTTTATTTCAGTCATAGTGTCAGTGTAAACACTGTCTGCTGTTCAAACACACTTGGAGGAAGAGCAAAGGAACTGGCATGCTCATCAGAAGAAGCACAAAGTCTTTCTGTGGCTGATTCCTGAAAGGAAAGTAGAGGGTCACCCTTATTAATGGTGCGTTCCATTTGACATGGGAAGTCGGAATTTCTGAGTTCAAAGTCGGAAATTTCAAAGGGAACGCCCCCTTAAGTTGGATTTCTGACTTGGAAAGTCAGGAGAACCGCACTACCCCGACTTTGTGATCCAAGATGGCTGCTCTGAGTATCAACAGTTAGAGAAAACTGTAATTTATACTGTTTATTAGTGTATGTGTGACTCATAGAAATGTTTGTACACAAAGTGCTGTCCAACTGCTGTCTGTGGACGTGTTACTACAGTGTTTAGTATGAGTAGATACTGCACAATGCGTTTTTTAATCAACCGGCGTAACAATAGCTAACCTGGCTAGTTGTAATCAACAGCTGGCCGAGCAAGGTTTTTTGACTTGCAACTGGTGCGACGTCAACTCGAGTGTGACATCATTCCCAGCTCCGACCTCCGCTTTCCGAGGTAAATGGAACGCACTATAATCATCAACTCTACAGCAGGGAGGGATTTAATGTTTTTGTCAACGAAACTTCGAAAGAGTGGACACCAGATCGCTGGGGATCAAACCAGAACTCAAATATAGATCAGAACTAAAGGTGATAGATTTGCAGTCTTGGCATTTGTCTTCATGTAAAATACATGCTCATGATGTTTCATCTTGCTACTGCACATATTATACAAGTACTCTACTAAAGCAATACTCCACCTGCTGTAGTTATGCTTCATTATCTGGACTGTTTAGCACCCTGAGCAGCAGTGTATTGCTTCTGTGTCACCAGTATAATGATAACATCCGTGCCAGTTCCCAATGGAAGTGGGTCAGCACCCAATGTGTTTTTAATTGCTTACTAGTATGCTTTGAATGCATCTGTATTGATTCAAAAAGCACAATGGGAAAACATGCACAGCTGTGCCTGCATGATTTAGACATGCAACACTAGACCTACAACAAGCAGTCATACTAAAACTGAAATTAAACAAAAGCATTGAGCTACAGTAGTCTAAAGAAAACATGTCAGTAGTGTCCTGACAGTGAAGTATGTACAGCGTCACACTTGCTTTGCTTTTTCAGTTTCAGCAGCTGTCTGATCTGGCAGATGTGGAAAGACCTGTCAAAGAGGTTCCACCAAAAAACATCAATCATCTCTTTGTTTCATTCATTTTTCATTTGCACACACACTTCAGAGAGGCATATACAAGGGCATGAATATCCCCGAAAAAGCAACTACAATAAACACATAGACAAAACTCCATGCATGCACACATTTATGCACATGTCGCAATCCGCAGACCTGTAGTGGCACATACAGACACAAATTCCCCATTGTAGTCATCACAATACACACATGCACACAGCTGTTCTAATTTCCACTACACAGCCATTCTTGTTCTCACCTGCACCTCCTAAACGATCATCTCATGATTTTGTGTAATACCCTCTTTTTACTTCAACATCCAATCTGTTTGCTAAACAACACCTTCATCACCAAATCAGCAAATTCTTCTTAGTGCAGTTCCTTCGCTTCTCACTATGTGATGTGCTGCAGAGACAGCTGCTATAAAATCCTAGTCCTCAGTCTGAGTCTGCAGGGCAGATCCAATGTGTAGTAGCATATCGTGGAACCAGGTCCTGGCTAGAGCATTAGCGGCAGGGATTCTGTGCGTCCTTTGCCACAAATGCTGGCTAATGTGGCTGAGAGTCCCTGTCTTTAGTCAGCTAAATGAGCTAGCAGCCCAGGCCAGCTCCACAGCTCAACACATTAACTTGTACAGTGCACAGCAGCATCACAGAGAGAGCAGGAGGGAGTGGAAGAGAGGGAGAGAGAGAGAGAGAGAGAGAGAGAGAGAGGGGGCTTTGACTGCAGAGTGGGCAGGGCTAACAATATGTGTTCTTCTTCTTAAAGCAGCATTATTAGAAAAAGATAAAAGGGTGTTGAAGTATATTTTAACAAAAAATAGACAACACTAAGACAGTAAAAATATATTTTTAGAATGAAGACAGAATAAGAAACACACAGAAGACAATAGGCAGAAGAGGAAGTACTAAACTAGATAGAAAATGCAGAAAAAGAAGAGCAGGTATAACAGAAAAGGGTATTAATGTCCACATGTTAAAAGGAAAGAATGGGTAAAGCCCCCCAAATTTAATACATATACAAAAAGCAGAACAAGGGGACCTACAAACACTACCATAAGTGGAGTCTGTGTGTAACTGACAATGCAAGAAGAGCTGCAGTAATTAACAACAAGAACAGTAAGAAGAAACTGATAGAATACTTAGAGAAGAAGACAATAGAAAAATTGAATGGAGTTGGACAATCAAGTGAATAATTAAGAGTTAAAAGACAGAAAATATTGAACAAAGGCAGGTATTTGGTGGAGAAAACCACATATGATAGATAAAAGTGGAACAGCAACAAAAGGCAAAGCTAGAATAGCTCCAAACTATAAAGCCAGACTAGAAACAGAAGAGAATGTAGTTTTGTAGTAGAATAATACAGTACATAAAGATGACTGAGGGAACTAGAGGGAACGGAACTAGTAGAGCTGCAACAGACAAAATAAGAGCAGCTGACAGTGACAACCACAGCACCATGGACCATAATAACAGTTTCCATTCAAACATACATTTAGCACACAAACAAATTATCCCACAGTAATCCAGAAGTATCACTTACATTCTTGAGCTTTCGGCTGCAGTCACTTCCCCTGAGAAAATGAGAAAGAGAGAGACAGAGAGTGAGACATTGTCTTCTGGTATTATTTAATGAAATATCTTATATAAAAATAATAGCAGACACCTTTTAAAACAACCTACACCCACATATCTATGCAGAAAAAGAAAACTAACCGACTCTATACTTCCAGTTTGTTGTTTGGTGATTTAGTTAGTTAATATTTCCAGCAATTATGATCAATGGCTGCGGTTGGACTTCTGCTATCTAAAAGATAAATTGTATCATGGAAAAAGAGTGAGGGCTCATTTGATTTGCAATTTTGCATCAGCAATTATCATTCACAAAGACTTTCTTCAACAGAAAGTCAGATGTCAGAAGAGACAGATGTCACAATGGTGGCCATAAGGTTTGACTGCCAAGTGATTTCTGGGAGGTGCAGTTCATGTACACCACAGCAGTGGCCACTTAGCTCCACAGATGTTGCCAAAATGAAAACATGTGGCTATTGCGGTTCACCACTTGAAGCTATAAATGGGAAGTGGAATGAAGCAGTTGTAAAACTGACCCCAATACACACTTGTGTTGTGGAAGTACATACTTCTAGGCTAAGAGAGGGAGACACAGCAGCACAGACAAAAAGGTACCAACAACGCACAAGACCCGGATTTCACTATTAGTCTTGACTCAAAAAAATCCATCATCTCAATTATTACTATTCTTTAACTGTTGATCTGTTCAGCCTGAGGAAAGGTCAAACATCACACAACAGAGACACACTTTTCAAATAAAGTGATGTGATATGTCACTCCTTAACTATGGAAAACAGTTACACAAAGCAACTCACAAAATAAAGTTTAATACATACTGTCCTTAAAAAATACTAATAATTTAGCAAAATTCCCCAAAAACTGAAGAAAAGTTGAAAGTCTTAAAAAATGTTCTTAGGGCAGATGAAGGCAAGAAGTACCTGCAAAATTATTCCTGCCAGAGTCTACGCACCCTAATGGGGAAGCCTGGTCATCCTCAGGTGTCAGCCTGGATGGTGACCAGAAAAGCTCTAAATAAGGAATTCAGGCTCTTTTAGTTTAATGCTTTGCAATATAACCAAGTGCTAGCCCAAAACCATCCTTAGAGGAGATCCAATCATTCTTAAAGTTGATACTGGTTTGATAAAATGGAGAGAAAACAGAATGGGAGGAATATTCTCTTTCTGGTGCTAGTCGTAAGGCGGCTGGCTGCAGCGTTTTGCAGTTTTGGTCAGAAGGAAAACATGCTGCTTTGATTATGTTTCCCTCATTATGAATAATATCTCATTATCAAGATCAGCAAGAATATCAATTTATTTTTATGGATAGGGAAGTTCATTTTACATGGATAACAGACCACCAGACTGTTTTAAGGAAAAAGATTGCATTTACATGGGTATGAAACTGTCTTAACGTAAAAAAAAAAAAAACATATGGAAAACAGGGGACTGTATTTGGTTAAGTGATATATGAATAAAGCTGGAATGATGTTCCCCAGGGCTGCAAGTAGGCGAGCACGCATGGGTGTTGCTTGGAGATGTTTCTTTTATATTTGTATCTTGAGCTGAATCAACCAATCAGCTTGTTGATTGTCCTCTGCGACTTTACCATAACACCAATGACACCCTCTTTTGCGTAGGTTCATAGAGATGTTTACGTGTATCGTTAGAGAAGTATAATTCCAGCTTGTCAACATGTCCTTCCTATGTATACACTGCACTGTAGCTATATCTACTGATCATCTAATGGATCATCTTGTATGGTTACAAAATAGCTTATAAAGATGATGGAAAATGTATTGCCCAAAATGGAAAACAGAACAGAACTTCTTCGTTATTGTCTTAGTTACATGACAGAATAATATTGCTGTCGTAATGTAAAAGTAAAATATTTTTAGAATAGAGAACATATTGATCATTTTGTTTTTGCCCAGGTTATTTTCCTTAATTCTTAATATAAATTATAAGACTAGTTTCCAAAGCCTGAGGGCCACAAAGCCCAATATACTCAACACACAAGTGACACCCAAATTGCAGTTGCGTGAGTTTTCCATGACAGCAGTGACCTTAGTTAGAGAAGAGTTAAAGAAGAGAAGAAGAGCAAGGTGAAAGTAGCTGGAGGGAATAATCTATAAACCCCCTCCTTCCTCCTCTCTTTCTGTCAGCTGACTAAATAAACACAGACAGGTTGGTTTTCTCAGCTGTTATCTTGTAGAAGCCGACAAACAGATTCCACAAGATATGAGATCATATTTAAGTTATTAGAGGGCCTATTCTACCCTTTTTTCTGTCTTTGTCTCTATCAAAGTCAATCTCAAATTTATAACCATGTTCATTTTGGAGAGTTTTCAACAGTTATGGGTTTTATTCTCACTCTTCTTTTATTTACTCATCTTACAAACTATAAATATAAAATATATTAAAGGAAATAGTCACTTTTGAAAAGTTTGCAATAGTTATGTTCTTTGTTAAAACTTCTACAGAACAAGAAAATTCAATGATGAACTTGATGATGATTTATTTTTTATATTTAGTTATATTTTCTCCAAATAAAAAAAGTATTCTACCTACAATTTTTTGCTTAAAATTAGAAAAGCTGAAGGGAAATGTCACATTGAGCAAAGTTTTATCAGTGAAACAGTGCAAATCATTACAATAGAAAAGCATTTGCTACATAAATAACGATGCAGACTTTGCACAACCAGTTTGTCTATTATTATTAACTGGATATAGAAGTCCTAAATCTTTTATTTTTATTTGCCAAGAGAAACCTCCTAGTAATGTACCAGACAGGCTCCATGCTATGTGATGGATGGTTAAATTGTTGAATTACAAAATGGAATAACTTACAATACTTGAACACAGTTAAGAGTAGCAGCAATTCAATAAAATATTAATGAAATCCTGAAGGGCTTGTGTTTTCTTCTGGACTTGCATTTCTGTTTTTCATCATGCATTTCTACACAATTGAGGAAAATAAATTTGTATTTTATTTATTGAGGCATTTCAAAACTTTAAAATAATAGAAATGCACTCTCTCTCTTTCCTCATCAGAAACCAATACATTCACACACACTCACACACCGACCCACAGCCATCAAGAGCAAATTAGGATTCAGTATGGAGGAGCTAGGGATCGTCCTTCTGATTAGTGGACCCGCTCCTGAGCTGCAGACGCCCTGTCACTTATCTTGGAAGTCAATCTGTTTCCATCAACACGCAGAGGAACAGGAGATATTTTAGGCGTGAGTTCATAGTGTACCAGAACCAGCCTGTCTTTACGCCTCCTCTTCAAAGCCGTTTCTTAGATGAGTAAATACCTGTCCAGAGACTCATGGGGGAGAAGCACCAAAACTGCTTCCTGCCATGGGTACAAGCTACAAAAAAATACCTTCCTTGTGAGACAGGGTTACATAACAACTGTCAATAGTACAAGGTCACTTAAACAAGGACACCAATGCTTCCTTTTAAGTTTGTAACTGTTTACTGACAGCAGAGGCATCCAAAATGAACAAAATATGGTCAGAAAGTATTTCATGTGGCAACATTTACTCTTGTGCTGAAGCAAAAAAGCAGGTGGGACAGGATAAAAGCATAAACACAGCTTACCAATTAAACAGCTTTTTATCAAACACTTTTTTGTCATTACCCTGTATGTCCTTGCACTGTAGGCAAGTAGTGTCTCTCCTCTGCTGCGTGTAATATTTTGCCATGCGGTTATATAAAAAAGGATAGAAATGATGGTTTCTTGAATGAGAAGTTAATCCTGCTTCCGCTCTCAAACAGGCTGACCAATGGAGAGCCTTTGAATTTCACATGTCAATCTGACTGAACTACAACTACTATGTGACTACAGACAATATATTTTAGGATAGGCTGTGTGGGTTGTATTCAAAAAAATTTTTAGTAGAGGAAGAAGACAACGATGAAGAAGAGGATGAAGAAGAAGACGAAGACGAAGAAGCATGTGAATGCACTGTGAGTCGCTGGTTGCAATTCGCAACCCTCTCTAAAACCACTACACACACACTGAACCTTTAAAATTCATTCAAAGTTGATTGTTCAAAAAAAGTGACAGCCTTAGCACACATAATGTTGGTTTATGTCACGTGACACCCAGCACCAGGGAAAAAAACAAAAATAACTTAATTTGTAAATTTCACACAGGTGTCTCCTGTGTATTACTAGTCAATGTCAATGTCAAGCTATGTTAACAAAATAATTGTGCAAAAAATAATGGTAAAAATATCATTACATTATTATTGAAGAAATGTAAATGAGGCATAGACAGGGGTCCATGGACTATTACTGAAAATAACACAACACACGTCCTGACAAAGCCAGTCAAGCAGCTCCTCCTGAGACCAGATAATATTAGCACTGTCCTCTCTCTCTCTTTCCCCTCATCTCCAGCAGTACCTTTCTAAACTCATGTGAATGAAACCACATTGTTGCACAGCCAGCATGAGGAAAGCACATGCAACACACACACACTGACACACCCACACGTTCACACAAACATATAAATAAATAAACTATATGTACTTGCCTTTGTTATCAAGCAACAAAATAAGAGTCATGGTTCAGTGAGTGATGTAAACCCTTGCACTGTATTTGGACAGAGAACAGTTGTGTCTAACAGATATGCTTTTGTTTCTTCACTGAAACAGGCTCTACAAACTTCCACTGACTCTCAGTTATTTATGTTGGCAGTGGACTGGGCGATTGTCTGATGCAAAGAATGACAAAACAGGGTGACAAAGAGTGACACTTAGAGAATCACACACCCAGTGATTCAGACAAGCGATCTACTAACACACCACTGAACTATTCATCATCAACACTCGGTCCATCCACTTAATAAATTACAAGCCTTCTTTCATTAGCAAAATTTGCACCAATTCTCCAGAAAAGCTACTAAATGGACCTTGAGGTGAGATTGTTTTGTTAGCTCCTCTTTCTAAGGCAAGAGTGAACTTGCCACTGGAAGAGAAGTCCTTAAAGATTCCCTAAAGCTCAGAAAATGGGAATTTAATCATCTACAATTCAGCAACAACTGGGCACTAGGGATGCAGCGATTACCGGATTTCACTATTAACCGCACCTTAAAATGTCATGGTTAATTAATCGTAAAGGCCCCACTACACAAGTGTTTCTGTTGCACGGAACTAAACTGTGGCAAATTGCACAAAACGAAAACAAAGTTACAGGAGCGGTGCACAAGCTGAAGTGTTGCGCTTATCAGAGACTACTGAACTTTTACATTTATTCATTTAGCTGACACGTTTATCCAAAGCAACTTACAATTGCTATATGTCAGAGGTCGCACAACTGGAGCAACCCTGGTCTCTTACACAAAAGGCAAAGTCTTACCCATTGCGCCATCACCACCCACTGCACACTGGCTGAACTTGCAGAGGGACTAAGCTGTGAAGCTTTATTTCCACCAGAGACACGGCTGAAGTTGGCAGTGTGGGAGCATTTCAGGTATACCAAGTCTGACCAGGGCGTTACTGAAGATGACTGATCACCTGTTCAAAAACTTGCCGTTAAAAGGTTGCTGCTAAAGGAGCAAATAACTACATTAAACTTGATGCAGCACCTGCGGGATCACCACCCAGCTTTGCATGCCCAAGTAAAGGTAGACCTAATACATTATTTTAAATAACATAGCAAGTTGGTAGGAAATCAAATATAAACCTGTCACTTAAAATCGAGCTTTCAGTGCAACGTAAACAAACAAAACAGCATGAAACCTTTCAGACCCACTGCAACGACAGCCCCACTGCGCTATGAGGCCCATTATTTTTTAATGGCTTGCGCCGCACCAGGGTTGTTTGTTGCTGCGTTGAGCAACGTGCACCGCACGGTGAGCTCGCGTACACACCACGGTCAAAGAAGTTGAACTTTAGTGCTGAGCAGTGCAAATCGCTTATTTTCTGAAAGCGCCTTTATGGAAGACAGAACGTAGTCCTTATAACACCTTCAGTCACTGAACATTTAAGGTTACATCATGTTGTCTTCTGTCTGTGCTGAAAATGTTGACTTTCAGGACTATAGGCTACCAATTCACTGCATTTCAGTTAACACTGCACTCACTAATTTTCACTAAAACATATGTATGGATGAGAGTTGATACAGTTTATTCCCCTCCTTTGTGGGGGATAAAAGTTAATATTCCTCTTAATAATACTTACATATATAGAAATATAATTGTTAATGTAATTAAATATTAAAAATCAACTTAAGTCGTTACTAGTGTTGTGAAATTAATTAATGCATAATAATCGTAATAATCGTGAAACCGTGATTATTTCTCTGACAATAATCGTACCAACAAAATCTGTAATCATTGCATTCCTACTGGGCAAACTCCATCTGCTGCCACAAATCAGGCCTTCATTGCTTGCTCATATATTATTGTTAAATCACTGTTATACGTCGGATTTATAGACTGTATAAAAGAAGTGGACGTAGCCAACGTGACGACACCCACTGGGTTTTGGACTACAGTTTTGAAGACTTGAGTTTGGCATTTTGGCAGTAGCCAAAAAACCAGAAGTGTCCATATATGGACGAGAGCGTGGGACTAGCTAACTTGGTAAGGTGCATCTGTAATCCACGTTAACTGTGATATTAATTAGGAAGCTAATTTTGGCTGGTGAAAAACAGGCTTTAAATAACGTGTACTTAACTGAAAAAATCTACCAAAAAAATGAACACTTAGTACAACCAAACGCTGGAAAAGACATTTTTAGACAACCAAAATGTTCCAATTAACTTTCATTAACTGAAATCACACGGTGAAAGGATCAAAGTTCTTAGATGAAGACACCAACAGCACCCCAAAACAAGTTCAAGGTTAGTTAAATGTACACAGTGCAGCAGATATGATTCGCCTCTATCCTGACTAACTGTAGGTCCCTGTGGTAGCAACTTGTCAATCACAAGGCACCATGCTCTATTCTACTGTAAGTGGGACCATAATTTACAAAATGAGCTTCATGCTGTATTAAAGAGGGTTTACTGAGGTAATAAATCAAGTAAGAAGTAGGGTCATTTTCTCATTAACATCTGTACAATCTCACTTCTTTTTGAAACCAGTACAGTCTCCCCTCCTGGCCATTAGAAAGAATGCAGGTTTGGCTTCACTTTCCATCACACTACATCAAAGTATGATGATCCAAAAATCCTTTCTTCTTGTCACTATAACACTGCTGCGTCCGAGCCTCATAAATTTAGCGGGGGCCAGAGGTATGGTTATGTTTAATATTGTACACGGTTCCTTACAAATAAACTAGATAAATAAAAAAAATATATAATCACCTTTAAGGGTTGACTTTTAGTAATGGTCATACATCTCTAAATAATAAAGTAATTACTATGCTACATAGAGAACCTTTTAAAAAGATCTATAACTTTCCTGTCAAAGACTTCTTCAAATGGTGCTTAGGAACAAATTTGAAAGAAATACACAAACACACACATACACACAAACACAAAAAGTAGAGCAGAAATGTAACACTAAAGCTTTGAGTCTTACTTAGCGGTAGGGCGAGTGGACGTGTCCTGCAGGTCTCCAGGGTCAAACAGCTGGGAGCCTTTCAGTCCCAACTCTTCACAGCCGCGCAGAAACACACTGAGGTTGTCCTGCACAGAACACACACACACACAGTTTCATCAGGACAAATACGCTGTTTGCAAAGAGCGAAGGCAAAGCAAGGTCAGGTTCATTAACTGCACAAGGTCATGGTGCACACACACTTCTTTGAATCACTTTAAATCATTCAGTTATTGTACAAAATACACCACTGGCATTACTACAACACAGCAAATAAAATAAAGTTAAGTCTGGCTCATTATTTTACACACTGTTAATTCAAATATGGACACTACATTGACATTTTTTTCGGGAATCCTGTGGGTCATGGGATACCTGTGGGATTCCTGCGGGATAGTCAATTTCACTATTCATCAAGTGAATGGAACGAGACAGGCAAAAAATAGTAACTGGGAGCAAGCGGGACAGGAATCAAACGTTTTACATATAAATATGTAATTTCTAATATGAATAAATGCTATTTTCTACTGTTTTTTTATTTTTAAATCAGGAATGGGATAGGACGGGAGCTATTCCGGGATTTGGACTGTTCTTTTCTTACCCTTTCATAGGATTGGGACAGGATAGGATTATTTTTTTGGTAGCGGGATGAGACAGGATTGAAATCCACTCCAGTGTCACCCTCTAATAGACACATATCTAAACACAGCTGAAGAATTACCTCTACACTACAGTAAATCTATTCTCAATGACATAATGACTCCCCTAATCTTAACGCTACTATTAAATATAACCACGATTTTAACCTTAAACTTTTCAACCAGCTTTGTAACATTACAGTGTGGGTAGTCTATGCAAATAGCAAATGGTTTATTTCCCTCCATGTTGCCTGCACCCAGAGCTCCCCAAATTGTACTTCCGCATTTTTCGTAAGCCCTCCTCCACGGACAGTCAAGCCGAGTGAGGGGTGGCTCCTTACCGCTCCAAAATCAAAATATCCTGTCCAAAGTCACTTGGCTAAAACAACCATTGGCAGAAGGCAATGTTCCTTTAGATATGGAAGAAATTTGAATAGTGTAATGTGCAGACATTTTATATGCTACTTCTATGAACCAGAACACAGTGCAGAGGAATTACGGTTTATGGACAACAAAGAGGCAGCCTAAGCTGAGCATCAAGCATCACCATTAGTAGCTCTGACTGGCTATTTGTCCGAGTTGGGAAAGTTTGGGAGTGGCAGCCTTGGAAGGCAATGGGCCCGGTACAACCAGGTTGTTGTAGGTTTTCTACCTTTTGAGTAAAAGGGAAAACCACAGGCCTTATCCTTTGTTTTCTTCTTAACCTTTATTTAACTAAGAAGTCACATTGAGATTAAAACCTCTTTTACAAGTGAGACCTAAAATTGGTGCTACATGACCTTTCTCTGGTTATACTACTGTCTACTGTATAGGCAGCCTTGTATTATCAAAAGACCATCTTTCCAGCAGTGAAATATGGCTTTAAACAAAGTCTTAACCCTCAAACAACCATATAAAGAGCAGGTGAACAGTTTCAGGTTCCTGGGAATCAGCATCACAGAGAACCTCACATAGTCATCTCACATTTCCACTCTGGTGAAGAAAGCTCAAAAACAATTGTATTTCTTGAGGAAGCTTAAGAAGGTTTTCAGCTTTTAGAGAGGAGCAATAGAAAGCATCCTGACTGAAAATATCGTAAACTGGCATGGGATGTGCACGGCACAGGACCAGAGGGCTCTGCAGTGGGTGATTAAAACTGCTCTAAAGATCGTTTTATACCAAACTCCCGAGCGTCAGTGATATCAGTGAAGTGAGGTGATTACACAGAGCCCAAAGGATACTAAAGGACAGTACCCACACAGCCTGTTCACCTGTTTGCCTGTTTCTGTTGTCGCAACACCAGACTGTTTTCACCCAAGCTATCTGACTTTTAAAGTCAAATTCATTCTCAGCACTGCTCCACTGTTAGTTTACCATTTTTTAAATTCCTTCTATATCAATATATATTGTCTGCTACGTAGCAGAAGGTAGTTACGAACTCAATTTCACTCTATAACCTGTTGTACTGTGTCAAAATAAATCTGCCTTGTACCTACCGGACAAGCTGTCTTCATAGTCCAAAAAGGTTTTACAAGTGTAAAAATAGGTCCTCACAAACAGAACTGTACAAGAACATTCATATAGATAATTTGATACAACATCAATATACCTTTTTACTGAACATTAAGCCTCTTACTCTCTGATACACACACACACACACCTCTGAACAACCCTTTCAAGGTCTCTCTGTCAGGCAAGCGTATACAAACACATGTAGATATGTAAAACTACAAGAGATGACAAGGGTCCAGGCAACTTATTTTACTATTTGACGAGGATTAATTCTTCTCTTTTGCACACACACACACACACAAAAAAATCAGGATACCTGCTCGACAGAAACGTGACACCACCAGGTTTTGTGGCCAGCTTCCGTACATCTCCTCTCAGATTACTCCAACTTTCACTCTTCACCTTTAGCTTACTTAACGTGCCTCCTGCTTCCTTTTTATCTCTCCTCCTTCACCTGCTTCCCTCGATCATTCTGTCTTTCTTTTCCTCTCTATCTTTCACTCTCTCCCCATCTTCTTGGTCTTTCTCCCTCGCTCCCCTCTGCTCTCAGACAATCTCTTTGTTGGACGCAACCTGAGCCAAGCTCTCCTCTCCCTTTCCCAGGATCTCTCTTTCGGTTTCCGTCTCTCTATCCTTCAGAGGGACACAGCCAAAGCCCCTCTCTCTCTTTCTCTCTCTCTCTCTGGGTGTCACCACTTCCTCTCCACCCTGATTGTCCCAAGCACTCACTCTTTATCTCTATCACGCACCAAAACACAAATACAATGTTCTTAAATTCACATACAATATGCACACATTTAGATAAAATGCAGTTTTATATATGCATCCTTCCAAGTGTTCCACGCACGCAACTGCGAGACTTATTTATATGTACTCACAAAACACATAAACACACATTTGGAAACACTTGTTCTCACAATCCTTTCCCATTCATAATAAAACACCCTCTCCATACACACCCTGCAGCTTCCTGTGTTTTTGGGACAGGGCCATCTCTGCTCTCCCAGAGAAGCAAATCCACCCGCCCACACACACACACACGCACACACAAACACACACACACACACACACACACACACACCTCTCTTTGAGTGAGGACACAACAATCTCTTTTGACAGTTTTACTCCAGGGAGGACACAGCTACAGTGTTATTAAGTAGCATTCAATTAATATCAGTGTGGGCTCTCCTTAAGAACATTTTCCAGATATCAGAAATGAGCTATCACTCTAAACAATAAGGGACTCCCTTGGGGGTGGGGGGGTGGGGGCTGTAACAGGGACCAAATATGACCCAAATCTCCCCATAAGTGGGGATTCTGTAGTAATGTTTAACAACTGGGAGGATCTTTCAAATACACAGAAAGTACATAAACAAACCTCTCTGCAGTTGAGCAAGCATACTTAATCCATGCTTACTTAAATTGGAGTTGCTGGCTAACTGTGGAAGAGAGCAGAAGCTATTGGCAGCTCTCAGCTTTTGATGTTTGTTCTCAGGTGAGTAATAAAAAATGAAATAAAAACAATGCAATCATGGTTGCTATAATAATGTGCCTATCAGCCCTACCTGCATGTTGTGCTATAGGCACTGTAAAGAGACATGCCCTTAGGACCTGTATGATAAGAAGCCACTAAACCATAGAGAAGTATAAAATGGGGAGCATTTGAAAAGTTCTAGCCAGGGGCTAGATGAGGATCTGGTGGTGTTGACAACAACAACAACAATTTCAGCTATTACAAAGCAGCTTCAACTCTAACTTCAGTAGTTAAAGAACGTCTAACTACATTTTTCTCCCTTAGCTGGTATTTCACACGGCCTGGATTCATAAACATTGAAATTAAACAGGCTTATTTAGTAGAAACTTGCATAATGGCAGGATCATTTAATGGGTGTTTGGAGAGTGTGAGAGTGTTTGTGTCTTAAGAAGTGAGCATAACTTTGTGGTGATTTGCAGGTCACTGCCAGAGGAAACTGGGCGTCTACCGCAATGAAATGACTGACAGCTGAATGTGTTTGTAGAAGGACAGGGAGGTAGGAGGTTAACTCTGACACAAAGTCATAATAAATTGAGGCAAAAGTTATTCCCAGTGTGGAAATACCAACATTGGTAAAATAAGCAAGTGATAAAATGAAGTAATAAATACAGCATAATTAGACATCTAAAATGGCATTTAGAACCAAATCTAAACACGTTTAGAGTTAAAAGTTAAGGATTATTTGGAATTAGCAGTAGACCGAACTCTATAAACACAAATTAACATAAAGTAAACCCCAATTGTCTGAGAGCACCACATTCCAGGTTCCAGCATTACTGGCTGTGCATATGATGATGATTAGTATTGTGTGTGTGTGTGTGTGTGTGTTTGCTGTAGTTACATGTGTATAAGTGTGTGAGAAGAAAAAAAAAGGTTCCTTTGAACATAACTCCCTCACTGTAATCAATATCGTACAACCACGATTAGACGACCAAGGTTTCTCAGGGAAGAGGATCAGTGTTCACGCCCTGATATTGGTTCTTGACAGAATCCAGAGGAAAGCTGCCCAGGATTAGGAAACAAGCCACTTGGATGTCAGTAAGATATGTTCCTGATTATTTTTCTCCCTGGAAGGATAACACTTGAAAATAAGACTGTGCCTCAAATGTTCCACGCTCAAAAGACACCAAAGTGCTGCATGTGTTGTTGTGACATTTAGTTTTTTTGGGATTCACCATTACATACTGATATTACACAGAAGAAGAAAAATTATATTTGTTGTAATGGTCAGTTTCTACGCATACTAATTAGAGTTAGACCAGCATGTCAGCCAATACTGGCCAATTGCAGTTATTTCAGTACCTGTGAATATGAATATATATAATATAGATACTGCATGTTTTTTAGAAACAGTGGTGTTCAGAGCAGCCTGACAAGCTAATCTTTCAACTGCAAAATGTCTTGCTCAAAAAATTCAATATTTATCAAAAATGAGTAATGGACGGGCCATAATACACACATATTTTTTAGTTTAATTTTATTCATTTATCATTTTCTAGTAAACTCCTCGTTATATCCGAGATGTAAGCGTTTCTGGTACTAAGAAATATATCCTTCTGCATGACCGACATGATATTTTAGTTTATTTTATGGGCTTGAAAAGAACTCACTGCAAATGAATATGAAACTCCCTAAAGCTGGAATTACAAGGGTTTTACATAAAACTATGAAGTGTTTATTTTATTATTTTTATGTACGTCACTGAAATGTAACACAAATACCAGTTGCCCTAAACTTAAAAACAACACATTTTTAAACATGAATTACTACCATTCAACTTGCAGGGTAATCTCCACTGCGTGTCTTGTTTACACACCGTAAAACATGAGCATACCAGTCGGCTCAGAGACGGCTGGGAACAGAGCACGAAACAACCAAACTGCTCAGACGAACACTGAGCCCATACAGGCCGAGCTGCCAAAGCACGGAGGTAGCTGCTCTAATTACAAAACAGCCAAACCTCCTCAGAGACTCATTTTCCCATTACCCCCCAAACAGGAAGAGGAAGGGGGAGTAGCCTATGTTTTATTAGGGTGGGCCAGATAACAGCAGACTCCTTGTTTATGTGTTTCTCACCTCTTTAATCACAGCCAAGAGGAAGACAAACCCCTGCAACACCACAGGAAGCTATAGGGCAGAATTATGAAACCAAAGTATGGATGGTCATATTGTTTAGACAGGAATAAAACCAGCAGGGGATATTTCTTTTACCTTTCAAACTTCTGATGTAAACATGTTGTCTTCAGTGGATGATGCATCTGCCCCTTTGGGCCAATTAGTGATGGTCATGTAATGTTTTTCGTCTTTTAACTGCACTGCGTCACTGCTGTTTGAGATACCATACAAATTTGTGACACAAACTAAAAAATAGAGTTAGCAATCACACCATCTTTGAAGTATCATCCACAATAACAAATAAAAAACGCAACTATATGGCCCCAAAATTGCCATCAAGTTGAATCAATGCCTCATTTACACTAACAAAAAATGGACAAGCAGCTATTTGTTACTGGGCTTACATAACAAACAAGTGTTGACGGTAGTGTGTCCACTTGCCATTGATATCATTATAATGAAGTGGAGCTGCTAATGCAAATCCAATTTTCTCATTTGATTTTGGCAGTTTGATTTATCCTACTGAAATCAAGATTTGACAATTAAACACTTCATTAAACAAGTTTTTACATTGTACTGTTGCTAGGTAGAAAAGTGGCACTGTGCCCTGATTGATCAATGACAGCCCTTACGAAGCCTTTAAAACACTAATAAAGACATGACTGTCAACCAGTGCAGATGATTAGAGTCCATTAGGCCGCAAATAGAGGAAAACGATCGATTATTGTGAAAAACACCGGATGGTAAAATCAGATGAAGAAATATTTGTTTACGTATAGATCACATACCAAATGAAGTGAGTACAGAAGCTCTTGGGTTTAAAAGCTCTAACAGGATAATCAATTGTTATTTTAGCAGTGATTGTGTTGTGAGAAAAATAAAAGGCCTGTAAAGACCGCAACGGTTTAATTATCCACCACTTGTAAAAAGCCAGAGAAGGCTTATTGGCAGCCATTAGTAACGCCATGAGATAAGAAAAGCCCAACTTAGACTTCCTGGTCTGTTCTGAAATGCTGTGGTCCAAATAATACCAAGCTCCATTTTCATGTATACCATCATCATGTTTTAACCTCATTATGTTCATAGGGACTCGTTCAATAAATACAATAATAAACGCAATCTTGACTTCCTGTACCAGTGCCAATAAGGAAATAAAACAACCTGGCGGTTTCATTTATTTAATCACACTGTTGTGGCCTGTATTTGATATAAATAATAATGACACATTTTCACAATGGGAGATGGCAACAGATATTTGCTTTAAAAACACGCTGAAAAGGGAATAAAAGAATCTCAGTATGTGGCCAGTATTAGTGCTAATTCACAGATCTATCAAACCATCGCAGATACAGTGTTTCTAATTCTAAATACAAAGCTTTGACCTGTTGTGTACTGTTTTACAAGATTATCAACAAATTACCCACAATGTTAAACAACTATTTCTTACAGTTTTAGAAGTTAGGAATGCAAGTGAGAGCAAGTTTGGAAAGAAAGAGAGACGGAAGTACACAGCGTGAGCTCCTATGTGATCAACTTTCAGTGTGCCTCTGTTAACATGTCAGTCCTGCTCCAGAAAGGTCACTTCATCCAGATCTTAAGACATCATGAAAGGGCTCCACTGTATTGCACTGTACTCTACTGAAATGTATCAGTGTTCATGTCTACTAAAATTCACAGGCTTTCATTCAAAGCAGGAGGTGATTCTTAAATAAAACCAGCAGCAGCAATGTACATTATTCAGTATTCTTCCTACTCAGAGGAAAGAAAACTTGACAGTTTAAGTGAATCAAACAAATTTTGCTTAGTAAATACAACGGAAAGATAAATTTATGTTGATATTGCGTCAAGAGGTTTTTACAGAAAGGACGTTTACAGATGATATGTGTCAGCAAAACTGTCTTACTGTACAGTAAGTGGGCCATTAAGGGCTTAGTGTCACACACAGGTACTGATGGACACCTTGGCTGCGAGGACAGAAAAGTGAGATCTTTCAGATAATCAAACTCTGATAACACACCTGGTACTGTATAATGTAAAGTCTGCCCAAGCCACTAAATCTGCATGTCACATGATTATCGCGACAACATCCACCAATGTGTCCCTGAGGAAAACACTTTATCCCTAGTTGCTTCAAAGGCGAGCGACCTCTGACAGTAGGGCTGGGCGGTATATCGGTATCTGAGGTATACCGATATAATTTCAAAAGAGATATGAAATTAGACAATACCGTTTATACCAATATAGTTTGATGTTGAGTTAAGGCGTTTGCGCCTCTCCCTTCCTCACCGCGCAGCCCCACCCCTCCCTCTGCGTCTGCACGCAGCCGTCTACCCACAAACTCTCTAACAAGATGGCGGTAGAGAAAGTGCCGGTTGACACTGACCTGGCTTGTAAAAAGAAAAACACGGTTCATTCAGTGTTTCCTCACACATACACTTTACTTCGGTGGGCCCCCAGGTTAGGTGGCACATTGTAGCATTTATCAAAGAAACACAGTGATTACGTTACAAGTCACAACACAGTGGATTTGGACATGGTAAAGCGCCAATGAACACACCAGTCAGAAGTTATTCGTTAGCTAAAGGCTACGTCGTCAACACACCTCCTCAACAAGAAGCTCAGCTGCTGCTGTGAAAGGAATCACGGGAGGAAAAGTCCAGAAGACAAGTTCTGTTTTTTTTCTGTGACTTTATACAGCCCAACCTACTACTGAATATATAGCAATTAGGGCTGTCCCCGACTAAGGATTTACATAGTCGAATCAGAATGGTCAAGTCTTGCTTATAGTCGACTGATAGTCAAATCATATGAGTGTCTGTGTGGCGGCCACTACTCTGCCACTACACACACATTACGCATTTATTCACACACTTTACAAACATTTATGAAATGCTTCTTTCTTTTCACATTTTATTTTTCATATTCACAGCATTATATGCTGAAGTGTATATTGTAATAGGCAGCATATTAACTTATTGGGAGAAAACTGGTAGTTCTATTTAAAATCAGAGCACCCCCATATCACCAAAATGGTATGATCCTCATTTCATAACGCCGTTGCGAAGCTTTGACTGTGAGATTGACAGTTGAATCAGGGTCTGGTCAAATCTTCGACTATGCGGGGTCAGCCCTAATAGCAATTGTAAGTCGCTTTGGATAAAAGCATTAGTTAAATGAGTAAATGTAATGCAAATGTAAATGTCTGCAGCTGTTGCCTTAGACCCGGAGCAGACATATTTTTTTTTTGTTGCAGTGAGAGGCGCCTTTTTTGATTTTGAAGGAGCTTTCTAAGCGCACAAAGTAGGAAAAAATTCAACTCTGTGCAGAAATGCGCCCAACGTCATTCGCGTTTTTTTCCATTGTCCAATCAAATGAATGGAAAGACGGGCCCTAGTTGTGGTAACATAAGTTTACAGTTGCTTGGATTGTCAGGAGACTGTAACAAACTGTCCCCCCTTGAACTGAGCTACTGGACCAGCTGGTGGTACTACCAGCAGTGTCTGCGTGTTTGTACAACCCTCACCCTCATTTGCTTAGCAGCAAACCGAAGATTACATATCGCTGGCGCTATAATCTTTGATTCGACTGACAGGACAGCTGATTCTGTGGTTGCCTAGCAGCATAAAAAACCCTGCAACGCACTGCTCTTTTCCAAATTCAACCAAAAGGCATTGCTGTGCGCCTCGTGTTTTTAAACCTGCAAAGTGCTTTCTGTCTGATCGTGGGCCTTAGGAGACATTGTAGTTCAATAGCATCCAGAATTTGCTTCCTACAGCACAATGACAAAAAAGAACAAACTTAATTGCAGTTTGAAACTTTCCATTCTTTTCTCGCATACTCATCCATGGAAAGGTATCACTGATAAACTGCAAATACATCACAATATTTATTGATGCTACTTTGACAAAGAATGAAAAATCTGGAAAATATCACACTACAATACAACCTGGAAACAGACACCGGCAATGACAAAGGTGATGATGTACTTTATATGAGGCACCTAGTGTAGGCCAAGGTTGCTAACCAATAGAAAAACAAACAAGAGAATCAGAAGTCTTATGTTTTGGTGGAAATGCTGTAAACTTGTACAAGTTACAAGGTATAATGGATGAGTGGAGGTAGAGGACTCACCAGGCCAGCTATGGGTGTTGGAAGTCTGTTAATTTTCTTCACCAGGCCGGGTTTAATAGAGCTCAGCAACCTAACAAAAGACACAGGGAAGATGACATCACAGGCTGAATTTCAATAAAAAAAAAAAAGCTGAGTCATTCCTAACTTGTCTTCTTGACAAGTTGAAATGAATATTTCATATGATGCATCACAACATAACTTTAAACCCAGCTCAAGCAGAGTGGAATACCTACAGGCAAAATAGACTCAGAGAAAAGAGGGGAAACAAAAAGGGAGAAAGAAGCATGTTTGAAGGTTTCACAGTGGCTGCAAGGTTTATGGCAAGACAGATCCTAAATCAGATACAAGAATCAGTGCTTCACCTTCCACCTACTGGGAGCTGTTAACTAGTTCCAGAACACTCCATATCACAGTGAACTACACATGTGAAGAGGTATGTCCTTCTGCTGTCGTCTCTCATTGCACACACACAAAAAGAACTTTATTATGATTTTTTCCCCCAATGTTACAGTTTATTCCTGCAACCTCAGGCAGCTTTGTCAGTCATGCACAAGCAGTTTCAGAGTTCCCGCTTCTCCCTCTCTTCCTCTCTCTCAGTCTCCAGTTTCATCTTTTGTGTGTGTTCTCATCAGAGCAAGCAATCTGCCCTGTAAAGGAAAAAAACACCCGCGGATACTCTTACAGTATGAGATATTAGCCATCCTGTGATGTTCATGGCATCCCAGCAGGTATTTTGAAATGAAACACTATGATTTACCTTTAAAGTGAACCCTTTCCCTCAGCCTGCATTATCTATTTCAACTTCAGTTAGAGATTTCCTATTGTACTGTATGTTTCCTAGAATAACTTTCAACAACCCCAAGAGAAGGGTGCTCTCAGTGTACAATATGTGTAGGAGGGGAGAGTGAGCAATAGAAACAGTAAAGACAGTATTTCCACTCTTGAAAAATTGTGTGGACTGAGAATAGTCTTGCAGTCAGCTTTCTTTATTTGTTTAGTTTACCCCCCAATTACAAAAAAGTAAACCAAGTGGATTCTTCCCATTTAATTGTTGAGCATTGGTCAAGATGAAAAAAATACTACAATCCCATTGTACCTCTAATGGCAACAGTTAAAATCAGTTTTTTTGCCAGTTGTCTGCAGAAATATGTGGCCCATTTGTGTCTAGAGAAGACTGTCACAGTTCAAACTTGTTACAACATTAAGAGGAAGTGGGAATAACAAGAGTGAGACTGCTTTCCTGCATTTTTAAACCCAGACACAATCAAAACAAACACAGTACAAGTGACATAAATACACCATCTTATGGGTATGTACAGGGACAAACACATTTCCTGACGCCTTGTGTATCAGGAAAAAGAGGAAGAAGTTGGAGGGGTGTTTGGCTTGTGGAATTAACGAAATTCAAAACAAGCCATATGCAGGAAGTCCAGTCTGCTCTCTCCTGTGCTGGATAAGAGTTACTTGATTGTTAGGACAAGAGGATGTAATGTTGATCATGATGATACGAGTTATCTGTACTGCAGCCAATTACTCATTACAAATCTGTCTGTTCAGAAGTGATGATATGAATACAGTTAATAATAATAATAAAAACAAATAATAATAATACTAGTAATAACAGCAGCTTCAGTTGTATTGCACTTTTAAATACAGGTAACAAAGTGCTTTACAACAATCAATGTAAAACATAAACAAGTTGAAATAAAATGAGAAAAAAGTAAGAACAGGCCAAACACAGTGGTTTACAACAATCAATATATAAAACCTAAACAGGCCAATATGCTAAGAAAAATAAATAGATGTTGATAGAAATAAAATAGGAATCACACAGTAAAAGCTTTTTTGTGTGTCTTAAAGGTTCAGTGTGTAAGTTTTAGTGGCATCTAGTTGTGAGGGTTGCAAAATGCAACCAGTGGTTCACAATGCATTCACATGCTCCGCAGGTGGTCCCAATTCCCGAGTTGTGAAGTCATTCTTCCGACTTCAGTGTCCGACTTCTGACTACCGTCATAACCATATTACAAATTTCATGTTTGCAAAATATGTATGTAAATTGTGATTTTGCACGAATTAAAGTACTGTATATTACTTTATGTCCCATGTACACTTTATTTCTTTTTTTGCAATAAAGATTTAAGGAGGAAAAAAAGGATTGTGATTATTCCAACGGCACATGAATGCACCGCTCAGCCCTAGGAGTAGCTACAGTGGCCGACACGCTCAGCCGGCTCTTGTGCTGAAAGATAAGTGTGAGCCTCTATTTGTCCAAATTACTCCTCTTTTTACCAATCTTCTTCTTCTTCCAACGTAGTGACAAAACGTGCTCTGTAGAGCAGTTGTCCGTTTGGTCTACTGTAGAAACATGGCGGCGCAACATGGCGTTGTCCATGTAAAGTGTATGTAGATTCACATTCTAAGGTAATGAAAACATAACGGTTCATTATGTAAGGTCTTTATCCACCACTGAAAACATAGTTATGTATATTATATTGTATTTCTGTCAGTAGATCCTCCTAAATATTAAACACTGAACCTTTAAGAACTGAGATAAAACTGGGAAAAGACTCTGCTAGCCTGATGTCTCCTGGTAGATTGTTCCAGCCTGGACCTTGGAATAGCTGGTAGCACCCTACCAGAAGATCTCAGTCTGCATCCTGGCTCAATGAGGGATAAAAGCAAAGTGTGTTGCCATAGTGTATATTACAGCGTTACATGGATGATTATAAGTAATGACTGAGAATATGCTGTCCACAGGGCGTTTTTTGGTGAAACCCATCTAAGCATGTTTGTGAGTAAATAAATGATTTTTTTTTCAGGTTTTTTCGTGATTGTCTATAACTACATTATGTGCATTTTGAGGCAGATCAAGATACAAATGTATATTTGAGAGAATTGTGCAGAATGGGCAGAGGTTTGAGCTCTGAGGGAGTTTTTCTAAAATGCCTATTCTAATATTGTTGTTGGTGATAGGGCTGTAACTAAATATTATTATAATTTCCATTATTGATTAATGTTTTGATTCTTTTTTCAATTAATAATATAGAAAGCTTTTATTCTGTAAAATGTCAGAAAACAGTGCAAAATGTCCATCACAAGTTCATAGTCTTAAGATATTCAATTTACAATCTCTCTTGTAAAGGAATGGAATCTGTGTGCATGTCCACCTGTCTGTTTGTATTTCTCTATGTCAGGAACCATTTATCAAATGGACTTCAAACGTGGCAGGTGTGTTGCTGCGAACTCAAGGGACTGCAGTGTCGCGTTTGGTTTAATTTTGAGACGGAACAAGTTCACAATTCAAGGTACAAGGTAGTTTATTAGTCATTATATAGTACAAGGCTGCATAACGAAACGAAATTTGTAGTTCCTTCATGCTACACACACAACATATTAAGTGTAGGCCTATATTAAAATATGGTAACGTATAAAATAAAATAAAAAAGTATATACAGTTATTTCCATAGGCTACACGTATACACCGCAAACTCCACCATGCATTTTTTGAATTTGCATCTGGGGTGAACGTAAACAGCAGCAAACAGATGATAACATGAATGTTTCATCTTCACATTAAACAGCCTGACATTTGGGAAACAGAGTCCAACTTGACTGCGTTTGAGCACCAAGCATCATCGATGTAAAACACAGAGTCCACCTTTTCTCATCTTGCCGAAGTCTTGCGCTCACAGCTCGGAACATGGACCACCTGCCGAGTGCTTGATCCGGGAGGTTGATGGGGCAGGTCTCTGTAACAATGTGGGCACAACAGTCTCTGAATTCTGTTTTCTGGTCAGTATGAATCCCATTTTGTCCAGATCGGATCTCTAGGAGCAAAACTAAATCCAAGCTGGGCCAGCATGTCTCCTCTCCTGGCTCTCTTTCCTCTCCTGTGAACAATCACCGCACCCGCCGTGGCGCCTGGTCCGGTTGTTTGGGCAGGGTCGATCGTGGTCTGCTGCTCTTTAATCCAAAAACCCACTGTATTTATGTCAGAGGTAACGCATGTTTTGGCAAGAAAGCCGGAAAAAACAGATAAAAAAAAAAAAAGTGTAGCGATAGAGAACAGCGCGGAACACACGCGGGGGAGGGGCTTATGTTCCGATGTGGTACTGAATTGTTGAAATGGAGTTATCGTCATCACACAGGTTTGATATGTTAGAAACGAATGTGTTGAAATGGAGTTGTAAGAGTTTTATAAAGTTCTAAGGAAGCGCAGAATATCTACCAGTATCTCCGCCATTGTCATGTTGTTTCAGTGTTATTATTGCTGTGTTATTAATGCTGTAGGTGAAACCAATGTCAGACGCACATTTTAAACAGTCTAAAAAGCGCAGGGAGGCTTCACATCGGCCCCTGTGATTGGGCACTGCACTAGTGACATAAAACAGAAACAGAAATACCAAATCTACACATTGGAGAAGCTGGAGCCAGAAAATATTTAGCAATTTTTTGCGAGACAAATGTCTTAAACGATTTATCAGTTCATTTTACCTCTAGCTGGTGATCATAACTGTGATGGCCCTGTGTGTGAATCACACATTTATAAATCATGGTCTGATATGCAGGGCTTGGAATACTACTGTAACTCTAGTTGCTCCATAATATTCCAGAAATTCCAAAATCTGTGGGGACACTGTTAACTTGGACTTGATGTCTGTATTCACAAAAATGGTGTAAACATGGGGCTTGTGTAACTCAACTTGGCAGAAAGGAATGTGAAAGAGAGAAAGGGCAAGTGTCTGTGAGTTGTGTCCTGTGTTTCAGTCTCATTTTAGCACCCCGACTCATTATGAGTGGGGAGACAAGAGTCCAAGTGTCTCTGATCACTGGACCACAGTGTTGTGACAAATCAGTACACTTATGAAAGAAAAACCTGTTTGACTGTTCATATTTTTCCTATTAATTCTGAATCACATGATAGGTTAAAATAATTGTGTTTTTTATTGTTTTCTTACTATTGCTATGAATGTAATATGTAATATTCAAGAAAAATGTTTGAGTGCTCACTGTACCTGTTTTTGACCCTTGCACTTTAAAGCTTTCTTTATTGCTGCACCCATTGTAAGTCACTTTGTAACACAATTTCATCTTAATGTCTCAAATAAGAATAAAAGAAAGGACCTATATTTCACAGTTAGTAAGACAACAGTAAGAAAACGTAATTTTTTCATGAAGAGAATAAGATCAACGAAGATAAAAGCTTAGTAGACAGTCAGTGGACAATTTAAAGACAGATAAAAATGAGTATGTAGTCAGAACTTACTCGCATAGCAGTATCCCATTCTCTAAACCTCCTCTGAAATCCTTGTCACCAAAGCATCTTCCTGTCACAGCCTACGGAGAGAACAACACCGTGAGTTAGCAAAGTGTAACGATACAGTGGCTTCAGAGCAAAACAACAGAACATCAAATAATCAAGTCACTCTGAATCTGAAGTCTAGACACAGAAGCTCTACTTGGAAAACAAGACCAACAACCTTTATAAACACTCCTTTCACGTCTTTCCTTCACAGTAAATCCCGGGAATGGTATGGAGAGCTACACAAAGCTGCCGGCCGTATATCAAGTCCCTCTCTGGTTAACAGTGCTAAACACTAACAAGCTTGACATAAGCCGCAATCATCCTGACCAAATGGCTCTGGCAGGCTAATATGTTGTGACAGGGGATTTATTGGGTAATAGTTGTTCAGACCCTCTAGGGAGGAGAAGCTGCCTGCTAGCATGAATTTGCATGACTAATGTAATGCATGCTTTTCTTACATAAATATTGCAACACATATAGATGCTTTTCATTTACTGAAAGACATTTAAGTGCACCAAAACTGTACATGCTCCAAAAATGTGTAAGTTTGTGTCGCAGCAAAGTTTCTAAAACAACTTCAATCCAAATTGTTGTTTTCTACTCCTGGAGTTCAACATTCAGCACACATCTCATAAATACATTTGAAGTCCCACATGAACACACACAAACATCTCAAGTGCAAACATAAACACGAACAGTAAAATAATTGCCTCCCACTCCAAAATATCTGCTGTTGCATGACTTTTAGGACCAGACCTACATAAAATCCATTTATTCTCACAAACACTGGCAGGGATTTGGCCATAAAAAGGGGGACCCCTTTGGACTGCTGATTTGGCAGCCAAAACAATTACAAGATTAAATTTCCTGAGACTTTCTTTTACATTTATTTGCACAGCTGTGGGGGGAAAATTTGCAGAGTGGATGTAGAGTGTCTGGCCCGGCTGCGTGTTTCTGTCAGCTTCTTGGCTCATCAGGGAGACTGGACCTGAAGCAAAAGAAATAGACTGCTGTGTGTCAGCGAGTAGACAGACAGTAGGCCACATTTCTGCTGCTGGGGATCACAGTGAGGCATCATGTTTGGTGCTCGAAGTTAGACAGAGAGGCAGATAAAGATAGACAAACAGAGAAGAGATAGTAGCACAGCTATTCCTTGCATTTTGTGCCTAGTATTGACAGCATAATGTTGTGTGAGGCCTAAAAGTCTGTCTTTCCAATACAAAACCATGATCCACAAAACAATAGACCTGCTCTGGAGGAAGACAGAATTATTTGTGTCTTCCTTAAACATCAATAGGCAGAGCCAGCTAAGTGGCAGAAATCAAGAGGAGAACACGAAAAGTAAAAATTAGACAGTCAATCATTGAGTTTAACATTTTTTTCCCATTTATTCCTTACAATGCATTCATGACCTCTGAAGTTCAGCACCCTATTAACTACAATTTTAAAAAGAAGGCAACAAATTCTGCCTACCAACATCTCTAAAGCTCACCAGTTAACACGATACATCTAGTTTATTAAATCCATACAGAAAACAAACTGCAACAGAAAAGAGTAATATTATTCTTCTCATCTAACACTAGGCAAGAAAACAAATTAGTATATTACCAAACTATTAATTATTAACAAACAGACTAGATAAAAACAGACTGCCTAAAGTTAATAGACTGCATTTTCTCAGTTAACAGTGAGAGCAGCCACGATCTGCCACGAGAAATGTTAATAAAATTAATTCTTCTGTGTGCATCTTCACGACTAGACAGCAGCAAACTGTAGATCCCTATACTAGTCAATATTTTTGTCTTTTCAACATATGGAAATTACATTTCAAGAACAGCATGCTGTAGTCTTGTACGTAAGAGAATAAAATTCACATGTCTAGACTCTAAATGTATAACAATCCCAGGTTTAGTACATTGGAGAATAGCATACCTTGTTTTGTTGAAGTGACATTTCATGGTCTGATCTCAGTTAAGACTCAGTGGCCTAGATACTTTTATATCTGCAGCTGAGTAGATGACCTTGATTTAGGAGCTCCTCAATAAATGTGTCACATGAATATTAGTACTCTGCTTGCTAAAGATGAATAACCTTTTATTGCTTTGACATGTAGTCTTCAGAGTCCCTCACAGTGAACATAGTCAGGTACAGTACCTTGCTTAAAAAGGTGTAAAAAGGTAAAAATGTGCTGTTGTGTTGTTGCAAGAGTTGAACCTGTGTGCTTTGAGTTACAGAACAGTCTAGGTCAGCTCTTCTCTGACCTTGTCAATGAGTAAGAGTGGACGGGACGATTACAGTTACCATTTTCACAAGGAGAAGGATGTCACCACCTTTACAAAAGATTTGTCTACAGTTTGAGGACAGAGTGATGTACAGTATATCACTGTATATGCAGATAAATTAGGCTCATAATTTCCATACAGGTGGTGTTGGACATGGTCTGAATTGGAAACACAAGACTGCTCATATTCTGAAGAAAAAGAAAATACATGACATATTAAAATATATTATACATTTTAAATATATAATATACATATTTGGTGAGCCCAAGCCTCAAGGTGAAAAAACAGTGTCTTAAAGGTTCAGTCAATTAATATTTTGTCCGTTGGGGTTCCTGCAGAAAATGGCAGGAATTTGGCAGGAAGTTTTTCTCATTTTCTTGAGCTCAGTTTGGCAGTGACTGCAGAGCAGCGAAGGACACTAATTCGTGTTCATCTGTTGCTCCCATACATGTCATCCTGAGCTCAAGTGCACATGTAAACTCTTGACTGACCAGAGAGAACACTTGTAGTAGTAACAATATGTTTTTCTATTAACAAGTTTGCATTGAAGAGTAACACAAATGCTCTGGCCATTCTAGACTTTACTGAAATATAATCTGACCAAACCTTTCAGCACTCACTGTTACCTTATCCTCAGGAGACTGATTAGCTGGTGGGCTTTGCATCTTGGTAGAGAGCATTACCTTCCTGACTAATAAAACACTTTCTGAGTTACAGCAGGAAGCTTCAGCTACAGTAACATCGCTATAAAAGTTGAAGTGGCATATTGCTTTCGCATGCAATGAGTGCTGTTTATTGTAGGTTCAGGGCATGGTGCACAGAAAAACATAAAATGTACTGCGAAGTGCCATTAAACAGTCAATTATAAACACCCTCAGCTTCAGATCTAGTAAAGGCAGTAACAAACTACTCACAGAAGACCACCCAGATTAATGTATTAACATTTCTGGAGTATGGACCACAGCAGCATCTAACCGAACCAAAGTGACATTTACAAAGGTATGTTTACATGCTGTTTAGCTGCTAAGCTGCCACACATTATTTAGCTATCTAGCCTGCAAACTGACGTTAGCAGTGCACTTTTCCCCAGTGAATGTTTGTTTGGCATGTTCAATAAGCTTAAGTGCAGGACAAGATGTGTGTTCATGTTTGTACGTTTGATAAGTAGGAGACTTTAGCAGGAAAGCCAACTCCGAAAGTTCACTGACTCCCAAATCAGAGCGTTTTGCCTGCCTGATTTTGCTAACATGTTTTCTCTCCATCTTTGTAGACAAATACTAGAACAGTAGGGCTAATAATAATATAATTTCCTCAATGACAATATAACAAATGTTCATTAAACGTTCAATACTGATTTAATTGATTTGGATCACAAACTACTAAGCAATTAATTGTTTTATTAAGATATGTATTTTGTTGAGGAAACTGAAAAAACATTTTTCTAAATTTTACTCATGCATATTTGTTGAAAAAAGTTTTATGATAATTATTTTGAATGTTCTACCTCAGCTTTGTTAAGAGATCCACTCTTCAGCAAGTGTTTGTCATGTTCTTATTATAAAGAAAAGTTTAAAACCCCAATTAACGATCTAGTTTATTCAACTTTTACTCAGAAGCAAAAACCAGCCTTTGAACTTGAGAGAAATGATGATTTGACATTTATCAATATCGAATGATTGGTGGGGCGTTATTATACGTATGATATAATAATAAAACTTTGTTCATTCATTTGCTGATTAGATTTTTGGCCATATCGCCCAACCCTACAGAACGGTATTCCATCAAATTTAATGCAACAGTAAGGGGTTACATAATGAAAACAAAAAAATATTAGTTTATGATTATTTTTAGAAGGATGACACATGGCACAACAATTTACAGAGCAGATGTGTGTGCTGCAGCAGACAAAAAAGTAAAATTAAATCAACTACAACTATATCAAATTAAACACCTCAATGGAAAGATGCATCCTAAAAATGCTGGAAACGTCTCTGTCTGAACAGTGTTTTCAAGCTACCACAGGGTCATATGAGGGGAGTCAATTAAATAGAGGAATGCGTCGCCTCTGTTGTTTTCAGTGCTTTTTCCCCCTCCTTTTCACTTCCTTCTCCTTGGAAACCCTTCATGTTCAGACCAAAGTCAGGTTCATGGATTCACGTCAAAAGAGGTCATCACTATCACTTTGGTATCGACAGAGAAAAGAAATCTCTGTTGGTTTAGAAAAGCATGAATGAACTTCACAGAAGCAAACTTAGCCTTTGCCAAAATCCTGTTTCCCTGAGGGAGCAGTGGCATGTGAATCTGTTTCTTTGCTTTGATGAATTATTTAATAGAAACCCCAAAAAAGTTTTAGTATGGAAACTCCCAGCAGACATCGCTTTCATGTTCTGAGATAAAACATCAACGTGATGAGAGGAGACTCCTCTACAGTCACATAATGTCTGGCAGTGGACCACAAACCAATAACAATTTCCTGAAATAGTATCACCAAAAAACCCCACAATTTTTAGAACAATACACAGATGAAAAAATGGTACTGCATATACAGACAACACAACAGCCAAATCAAGAGTTTTTCGTCAAACAGCGATCAAGTCCACGTCTCACTGTCTGAACTAGCTTACTGTAATCCCTCCACCCTGAGGGCCATCCAATGAAAACAGATCTATTGCAGTGCGGAGGTAATCTCAGAAGCCCTGCACTGGACAGCTACCCGTCCCAAATTAACAACCAATAATTCAAGGTTTGAG